GAAGTCTGTTCTTTTCAAATCCTCTGCATTAAATTATGTGAAATCTTTAAAAGGCCTGATTTACACTTTCTGTCTTCATTTCTTGTGTTTCTGCAGGTAAAACTCCAGAGGAGGTTGTGAAGAAATACCTGCAGAAAGTAAAAAGCCCCCCAGAGGAGGTGAGTCCTGCCTCTGACTGCCACAGCTGATGAATCTGTGACGATATTGCAGACTAACGTCGGTTCTGTGGGTCTCTCCCAGGACTGCACCATCTGCATGGAGCCACTTGGGGGCCCGTCCGGGTACAAAGGTCCGGGCGTTGGACCCGTCTCCAAGGCAGAGTCGGTGGGTCGGCTCGCTCAGTGCGGACACCAGTACCACTTCCAGTGTCTGGTGGCAATGTACAACAACGGCAACAAGGACGGCAGGTCAGTCCAGTACCAGGTCCAGTACCAGGTCCAGAACCAGGCCTAGAACCAGGCCTAAGGTCTCTGAGCAGGAAAATAACCCGACTTCCTGTCTCAGCCTCCAGTGTCCCACCTGTAAGACCATCTACGGCGTGAAGACCGGCAACCAGCCAGCCGGGAAGATGGAGTACCACGTCATCCCCCACTCCTTACCGGGTCACCCCGACTGCAAGAGCATCCGTATCATCTACAACATACCGCCAGGGATTCAGGTACCGAGCCGCGGCGCACGCCGCTCGCTAACGCGCTGCCATCAGACACTAACGGGAAGCTTTTCCTCCAGGGACCAGAGCACCCCAACCCGGGGAAGCCCTTCACTGCCAGAGGCTTCCCGCGACACTGCTACCTCCCAGACAGCGAGAAGGGACGCAAGGTAACAACACCTGCAACGTTAGCCTTTATTTACACTGGTACTTATGATGCGTTACTAAGGAAACAAAGCTGCTGATTAGCATCTCAGAAGATCAGAGGCAAAAGAAAGATCATCCCCTACTCTAACGTCTGTGCCTGACTTTCGAACCAAACGGCCAGAAAGAGATTTAAAGAGGAGCAGCAGAAGGAAAGCAGAGCTAGCTAACAGCTGATGATGTCATCCAGGACATGTTGCTGTGGAATATCACACAACAACAAATTAACAACGAAACAACAGAAAGGCAGAAGAATGAAAGAATCTCCAGATTGGAGATTGTAACAGCGGTTCTGCTGACGCGGCTTCTCTCCGACCCGTCTGCAGGTTCTGAGGCTGCTGCTGGTGGCGTGGGACCGCCGCCTCATCTTCTCCGTCGGAACGTCCAGCACCACGGGAGAATCCGACACCGTCATCTGGAACGAGGTGCCGAGTCCGCGCAAACCCCCGAGCTAACCGTGCTAACCACGCTAACAACGAGATGTCATTCTTCACTTCCAGGTCCACCATAAGACGGAGTTCGGGTCCAACCTGACGGGCCACGGATTCCCCGACCCGGGTCACCTGGACAACGTGTTGGAGGAGCTCCGAGCTCAGGGCATCACAGAGGAAGATGCACTGGTAGAGAAGTGAGAGAGGAAGAGGAGGAAGACTCTCTGCCAGCACTTAGGAGAATTTGAGGAGGACAGCGACCGAGTTCTTCAGAGACAATAACGCTGGCTTAGCCTTTCAATGCAAGTTTCTCCACATTTTTTAAACCAGCGCATCAAACGAGCAGTAGGGGAGGAAGAGGAGGTAACGGGGGAGGAAGAGGAAGCTTGTGGGTCTCGGTACTAAACAAGAGTGAGAATGAATGGGTACTAACATCTAGAACAGCAACAAGTTAACTTTACTGAATGAACGAACAAAAAGTTGGGAAAAAGCAGCAAAAACTGGAAGGAAGAGGATGGAGGAAGAAGAGGAGAGAGGGAGGAAGAGGAGGAGGAAGAGAGAGAAGGTGTATGAATGTAGTTCAGAATAGCAGTAGAGTGAAACAACTTGTGTGGTTCGTTCAGAGGGACCAACAGATGGGCTGGCTTTGTTTACGCTGTGGTGAGGTGGCGCCTCCTGGTGGGCAGCTGGAGCAAAGCGCCGTTTCCTCATCACTTCATTCTTCGCTTTGATTCAGAGGCTGGAGCGCCGAGTTCATGATTGTTCTGTGAAGATTCGGAAGAACCGGGCCTCCGGGTCACAACTACGTTTGTTTTTCTTGTTCTTAGTCATATCAGTCGGTACCGACGCTCGCCGTTTTGTCCCGACTGTCATTGAATGCTTCCTTGTGTTGAGGTGAACTCACCAAACCTGGCGGTGCGTTCACAGCCAGGTTAGGAGGGTCCGAATGGTTCTGTTAGCATTCAATGTCAGAACCTCACTCATGTCACGTTTGATTGTTTACTATAAAAGTGTAAAATATAGTTTCATCCAGTAGCTTTTCTCCATTACAAAAAGTATCCAGGAACTAAAAATGTTCTGACATTTTTCTATAAATTATGACCTTATTTGGCAACAGAAAAGTGTAAAAGCTTTTCATTTTATCTTGGTGAGGATAAAATATTTTCATCAGAGTAAAGGTCAAAACTGGTACGATAGAAATTCTGACTTTTTTCTCCGAGGTACATTGAACGCAGCTTTGTATCACCAGATAGTCTACTGCTTCTGATTGGCTGCCATGTTTAAGCTCGACCAATGAGAACACTTGTAGATGCACTTTTTATCCCAGCTATTTGAACCTGTGAGGTTCTGTTAACGACCCGGGTCAGAAGAATCCCGGGTTATATTTGGGCATCATCATCATCGTCATCATCGTCTACCTGATGCTGGTTGTCCTAATGATGGTACTCCCTCCACTCTTCATGTCTTTAATACATTTTTTAGCTGCATATTTACTTTTTAGTAGCATTTTATTAACACTATTATAGAATAAATTGCCTTTTTTCTTATTTTGTACATTTATGTTGTATTAATTATCCCGTTTTTTATGTTATCTTCTGCTAGTGAAGACAGTATTATCAAATATGGCGTCTTTTGTTCTCTGTGTACAGAAATGAAGCTGATTTGCATCTTTTCTTTGGAAAAGGAATTTCATGGTAGACTTTTATCTGAGTGTGACTTGTAATACGTTTTTCTAACTGAAAGCTGCAGCTGTGTTCATGCTGTCGTCGTGATGCTGGAACTTTAAAAACTGTTCCAGAATCACCTCCATTTGTCATCAATGTTTTCTTGCTCTTTGGCGAACGCACGAGTTTTTCTTCTGAGCGTGTGCAGCGTGAGGCCAGATGGGATTCATACGGAAGAAGATTAGAGCCTCTGGAAAAACAGATCATTTACTTTTTTCTCAGAAGTCCAACTATGAACTCAAAATTCTGAGTTTAATTTAGACTTTAAACTTGTCGTCGATGTTAGGATTCTCATTTTAGTCTCAGGATTTGGGGAAAACGTTCTGAGATTTCTGAGGTGAATTTCATAATTGTGTTTTCATTTTTCAGTGGCCCTAATCTTCTTCTGTAGCTTCATAGTGTGATTTATTGTTTTTATTGGTTTAAACCACCATCATGTCTCATCCCCACTGAACTCTCCCCACCAGTAAATGTGTGGATTACTTTCGGTGGCATCTTGTAGTGGAAGGAGAGACGTGATCATAGGTGCTGATGTGAAAGCATGAAAAAGTTAAACAAAAACACACAAAAAAAGAGTGTAAATATGGCATAAATAATTGCTGGAGTATGAATGATTAATACAAGAAGATAAATAAAGAACGAATGAAATTTAAATGATGAGTCCTGTCATGTATCCATACAGTGAAATAAAAGTAAAACTCAACTGTGACGTCATGCCAGCGTCACTGCAGACTGTTGCTCCGTGAAATACGTCACGGTGACCCCGTGCTTCCCAGCTGCCTTCGATAGCTCAGTTGGTAGAGCGGAGGACTGTAGAGGCATCTGCCAGGCATCCTTAGGTCGCTGGTTCGAATCCGGCTCGAAGGAGGCGAGCATTTTGTCATTTGTTGCTAAAATGACTGCAGCAGGTCATCTATCCCCGAAGTTAATCGCGTTTCAGTCACTCTGTTTTTTTAATACTTTTATTAATGCTCATTATTTTCTTATTATTGGAGCTTTGCAACGACATTTCTTTATTATATTTGTACATTTTTAAATGTGCAGTGGAATGACAATAAACTGTCTCTGTCTAAAATGAAGAACAACGACCTTTTGATGGAAAAATGCTGGAAAGAAACATTTTTAAACAAAAAACAATGGATTAATTTGATCAAATACTTTTCTGATGCTGCTCGTTTTAAGGATAGTTAAGAAGAAACTTTGAAAACGGCTAAATGAACGTCCGATGATCTCGTCACATAGACAAAAACAACAGTTTTTCGAGAAAACAACAGTTCCCTGACCGGGAATCGAACCCGGGCCGCGGCGGTGAGAGCGCCGAATCCTAACCACTAGACCACCAGGGACCGCTGAGCGAATTGACACATCATCGATATTCATACTGGAGACACAGAAATATGCAGATCTATACATATATGTAAATATGTATACCAGCAACAGACATAAGGGACGTGGATCGAGGTAGATGAGAGAATGAGAGAGGAGAAACCTTGGAGATCTGCATCCAAACCATCTGATATCTCACATTCAACACCGCTGCTGTCCTCCGGGGCGGCGGTCATGTATCCGCGGGGTCTCCTTCGCCAAGTGTCCGGGCCGGTCCTTCCCCCAACAACACAAGATGATGTTTCTCCGGTTAAAATCCTGCAGCACCACCTGCAGCCCCTGCAGCCCCTCCTGTCTATGTTTTCTATAAGTTTTAAAAAAAAAGATATTTTACTCCGTGGACTTTTACAAACAAAATAAAAACATACAAAACATTCTTGTGCATATAGCAATGCAATCAATTTATTTGTAATTTATTAATTTATGTTTTACTCTCTGTGGTCAGCCATTTTTTTCATAGGATACTTTAATTTATTGTCTCAAGCTTCCCCTAAATTAATTTTTATGGATACATTCTAAATTGAATTGGCTGTCTTGTAAACTTTTAGCTTAACAAAACTGATCATATTTTCTTTTTTTTTTTCATGTGAAGCTTTATTGAGCAAGTGAAAAGTGAACAACAACCAAATAAATACTGAAAAATCCAAGAATTACATGCACAAAGAGTGAAATATCTGTTCCTGCTTCCACAATCATAACCATTATGATGGATGACAGATTTGGTCCTGTGGAGGGAAATGCATGGAGGATATTAGCATTTTAGCATTAGCATTTATAGCATAGCCTTTCAGCATTTGTGGAACTGATGTTTTAGGATTACCACCACTGACTTTATTTGGTCTGCACTGTGCTCTACAGTTGACATATTTTCCACTAAGTTAGTTATAAAAATACATGAAAACTGAACAGTATTTAGGTTCATCATAAAATAATACATTTCAGTAACAGTGGATGGTAGAAGCTGGTCTGAGTGAAGAGTGGATCATCAAAGACCAAAACCATTTGGAGAAGCAGGAGAAAGGAAGCAGATGGATTATCGGGTCGTTACTGAGGGACAATGGAGACCTGTGTGATGATCAGAGGGGCCCTGTTTGTCCCATCCTTGTTATGACCCGGACCAAATAATGGGTGGAGTCTCTCAGTGAAGAAGCAGCCTGTGAAGGAGAAGATCAGAGCAGCAGCATGGACATCATAAAAGAAGACCAGACCCTCTTCATAATCCACAAACACCCCCAGCGTCTCCAGACCAGAGTTCAGAGATAATGGGACGGGAGGGGAAGACAAACCAAACAACTCGTTTTGATTCCTCACAGATACGGACCAGAATCCGGACCGGGGCGTCCGTCTGACGCGATCCGTCCGGGAGACGGACTCTTTGGCCACTCCTACAGTCCAGTTAGTCTTTCCCTTCACCTGGACCTCAAAGTAAAACCTCCCGGAGGAGAAGCTCTGCTCTCCTAAAACATATTTAAAAGACATAAACCTGTTTGGGTCATGCGGGAGATTCCCCGCTGGGTTACAACAGCTCACTTGTTTCCCATCATCCGACAGGATGAGTTTGGGATGAACGGTGTTTGGATCAAGAGTCACGTCCACGGCGTAGCATTGGGCTCTCATCAGCTCGGCTCGGATCAGCAGCCTGGGAGTTTCCTTCTTCATCACCTGAGTGAAGATCTGCTCCAGCTGAGCGGCAGAGAGCAGACCCACTGCAGTCCGGTTCTGTCCACAGGTCACATTCTGGCATCTCTTTGCTGAACTAAAGGTCCAAATGTCCTCTATGATTCCCTTTGCCTTCTCTTCAGTTTCTCCTGTCAGAGCAGGGCTGTGACTGACTTGAGAGGATGAAATAAGTAAGAGAAACACACCACATAATATGGCAATCTTTGCGCTTATAGTGAATCGACTGACTGGACCAGGAATTTCTGCCTCTGCGTTCTGGCGCAGAGCTGATCTCCTGAACTCGTCGAGCAGCTCGGCGATCAGAGTGTTGACCTCCAGCTCCGGTCGCGGGAAGAACATCTTTTCACACACTGGACACTGAAACGGGACATCATCACACACGTTTTCTGTGACGCAGTTCTTGCAGAAGTTGTGGCCGCACGGTGTGCTGACCGGATCCGTGAAGACATTCTGACAGATGAAGCACCGGAACTGGTCCTCAGATAGGAGACAGCTGGCCTGGGACATGCCTGCACGCCGGGACCTGAGGCGAGAAGGCCAGAAGGTGAGATGTATGAAACCCAACAGCACCGCTAGTCAGTGCTCTGAGAGGTCACCCGTCCAGCAACACAGAGACACACAGGACTGACAACAACTGCCTGAAGGCAGCTAATGAACCTGGCAGTCTTCAGAAGACGATAGGAACCTGGAGTACCCAGAGAGAACGCAGACATGCACAGAGCTGAGTGCAGAGACTGACGTCAGGAGTTCAGTTAAATCATCGACACATGAAAGGAACAGAGCGTAAATCTGGCTGGATCAGGCCGTCCCACAACCTGAGTGACTGTGACGGAAAGGTCACCGGGTTGCCATGACCTATAATGGGAAAGAGGAGATGATAAAACTCTCAGCAGGTTGGTAAAGACAAAAGGTCAAATTAAAGCCGTGAAACACATTCCAGTCAAAGTCCAGAGCTGTTTCTGTAAAAAAAAAAGTTGATTATGATTGATTTATAAAACTAACAAAAAGGGTGTGAATACTTTCTACAGGTCCCGTAGAATCAGTGAAAGTTTGGGTTCCTTTCAGAAACTGTTTGCTTTCAGTCTTGTTAGTTTCACAGAGGAAACGTTTTGCTCTGATCTCAGTAAAATGTCCAGATAAAACAAACACGTTACTCATTATGTGTTTAAATTCCTCCGTCTGTCGCTGCTTCCTCTCCATTAGATCATATCACTGCAGGAAATATCGACCAGGCAGAAAACAAACATCCAAAACAGCAGATATGAGGTGGAACCACCTGGAGGGAAGCAGCCAATCAGATCAGAGGAAGGAACTGCAGCTGATCTCTGAAAACAACATCTGGGCTGGATCCCATCTGATTTATGGAACAATGAACGTAGTTTATGCTGCTGTTATCCCATCAATAATCATCTGAAACATTTCAGCATTTCCACACAAAGCATGTTTGAACTCATATGAAACCGAACAGAACAGCTGAGTCTGAGGGAACAGAACCAAACAGAACCCAACAGAACCAAACAGAACTCAACAGAACCCAACAAAACCAAACAGAACCCAACAGAACCAAACAGAACCCAACAGAACCAAACAGAACCGAACAGAACAGCTGAGTCTGAGGGAACAGAACCAAACAGAACCCAACAGAACCAAACAGAACCAAACAGAACCCAACAGAACTGAACAGAACCAAACAGAACCCAACAGAACCAAAAAAAAACAAACAGAACCCAACAGAACCAATCAGAACCCAACAGAACCGAACAGAACAGCTGAGTTTGAGGGAACAGAACCAAACAGAACCAAACAGAACTCAACAGAACCCAACAGAACCAAACAGAACCCAACAGAACCAAACAGAACCGAACAGAACAGCTGAGTCTGAGGGAACAGAACCAAACAGAACCCAACAGAACCTAACAGAACCAAACAGAACCAAAAAAAAAACAAACAAAACCCAACAGAACCAATCAGAACCCAACAGAACCGAACAGAACAACTGAGTCTGAGGGAACAGAACCCAACAGAACCCAACAGAACCAAACAGAACCGAACAGAACCCAGTAGAACCAAACAGAACCAAACAGAACAGCTGAGTCTGAGGGAACAGAACCAAACAGAACCCAACAGAACCAAACAGAACGCAACAGAACCCAACAGAACCAAACAAAACCCAACAGAACCCAGTAGAACCAAACAGAACCAAACAGAACAGCTGAGTCTGAGGGAACAGAACCAAACAGAACCCAACAGAACCAAACAGAACCCAACAGAACTGAACAGAACCAAACAGAACCCAACAGAACCAAAAAGAACCAAACAGAACCCAACAGAACCAAACAGAACCCAACAGAACAGCTGAGTCTGAGGGAACAGATGGGTTTCACTCACCTCCGATCAGCAGAGCCTCTGTGAGAACAGAACCCAACAGAACCCAACAGAACCGTGTGAACAGCTGCTGAGCAGCAAACTGAAAGTGAAAGCAGTTGTTACCTGCAGCTCCTCCTCCCTGAAGTTGATTCAGGTCCCTCGTTTCCTCGTTCCCTCGTTTCCTCGTTTCCTCACAGGGAATCAAACGCTCCAGTTCCCAGGAGCCCGAAATAGAAAAAAGCTAAAATCACTAAAGAGTTTCACTTCTTCACTCTGGAACATCCAACAAATGAACTATTTGTTCCTTCATTATCAGCAAACATCATGACAAACACTTTGGTGGGAGGAGTCAGTGTCCAACCTGAGTGACTGCAGATAAAATAGAAAATCATGACGCATGCAAATAGGCAACCATGATTTATTACTGACAAAATAAAACTATTTACAATAAAAGAGGAAAACCTGTCTGACAACTCAGAGGGTCCAAAGGAAGAGAAGTGGAAGAAAAACCTTCACATGGGGAAAGAAAGACCCTGGAACAGCAAAACCAACTGAAGCACACAAACATCAGCATAACATGCAGACATACAGAGAAGATCTGAGTTAGCATTGAGGCTAATAGCTGGAACAGCAGATGAGGCAGGAGGCGTGTCAGCGGCTGGCAGGTGAAGAAACCCGACAAACAGCTGGAATAACTGACCTGCTGACCATGCAGCTCCTGAAACATCTGGATTTCTGCAGGTCAGCTGATCAGGAGCGTTCTCACTCTGACTCCGGTCTGATTTAACCTCCAGCGTTCCTCTGGATCCTGCTGCTGTTTCTTCCAAACCTCAGAATCAAGCAGGTTATAAAGTTTATGGTTAGGTTTGAATTTATCTGAAATAATTTCACCGATAACAATCTCCCTTAAGTGCTGTCAAATCCAGAACGTTTAATGCTTAAACTTCACAGGCCTTTGCAGGCCTTCGCGATCTGTGGCAGCGCGTTTCAAGCATCAAGCCCATCCAGCCCCTCTGACGCTGTGAAAGTGTGAAATTGTATCAGAGATGAACTGATTAATGAATGAAGTTTGATCCAATGCTTGGCGGGTAAAGAATGAAAGTGTCCTCATGCGAAAACATTCAAAGAAGCGTGAAGGGCTGAACATTTCTCTGCTGCAGGAGACACCAGGACGCAGCGTCTTCATCCTGATGAGGGACGAACCGCAGAATCACAAAGCTTACAGGACAGCAGCAGATGGACTGCTTTTAAGAGGAAAGATACCAAATACTGAATGGAGAGACCATGGAAGAACAGAAACACACACACACACACACACACACACACACACACACACACACAAACACACACACACACACAACACACACACACACACACACACAAACACACACACACACACAAACACACACACACACACACACACACACACACACAAACACACACACACACAAACACACACACACACACACACACACAAACACACACACACACACAAACACACACACACACACACACAAACACACACACACACAAACACACACACACACACACACACACACAAACACACACAAACACACACACACACAAACACACACACACACACAAACACACACACACACACACACACACACACACACACACACACAAACACACACACACACACACACACACAAACACACACACACACACAAACACACACACACACACACACACACACACAAACACACACACACACACAAACACACACACACACAAACACACACACACACACACACACACACACACACAAACACACACACACCACACACACACACACACAAACACACACACACACACAAACACGCTGTTCAGGTAACTGGATTATTTGTTTTGTTTTTTTTTCAGGGAAAACCGGATCACCCGAAGAAAACCCAGGTTTGGAGGTCGGATCCAACAGTCGACTCGGTTCTGTAGATGCTGGTTTTATCTGGTCACCAGGAAACAGTGAGTGGATTTTATAAAAGTTCTGATGTTTCATTTTGACCTGTTGTCATGTTTGTTCTGTATGGTTTGAAAATGTGTATTTTGGGCTGATTATGCATCGAATCGGTCCGTTATGGTTTGGACCGATTGTTTAGTTTTGTATTGAAGGTTTTTTAGTTATTTTTAGTACAATGTGCTTCAGTTCCTAAAATCGTCCATCACAGACTCACTGATGAGTCTGTGATGGATCTCATGGTCTGTTGAATGAATCTGTGGGTTTATGTGAATTGATCAGGCCCGGTTTGACACAGGCCCGCTTTCTCGGCCCGTTGGGCCTTTGAGAAACGGATCATGTCATGTATTCAGCCTGGCTTCATCGCTTATCCCAGGTTTGTGAATCCTACTTTGTGAAACAGACTGGCTATGTTTCTGGGGATCACTGAGCAGGTTCTTTATGAGATCAAACATCTTGATGGGTTCAGGAGTCGCTTTCTGATACAGGACAGAATGGTTTGTTCCATTGGCGGCTCCAGGAGGAGCACCAGGCTCTCTGGATGGTCCCACCGCTTGCAGAGGTCTCTGTAAATGACTCGGTCCAGGCTTTTAATCTTCGCTGGAGACAAGTTTTCGAGACCCGCCTTAACTTGAGCCCAGAGGTTCTGGGAGAGACGCTCACAGACGGCATGATACTGCTGCCTCGGGAAGCACTGCCCTGTTTTCTCAATGATCTTCCAAATCAGCTCTCCAATAAGGATCTTGACAGCCAACTCTTTCTCGCTTATCTCAGTTTCTTCAACTGAACTTGAGGTTTCAGTCAAAAAATCTGAGGAGGAAAATGAAACCTCTTCTTCTTCCTCTTCAGATTCCTGCAGGTTTTCCTGCTGTTGGCTGCCATCTATTGGGGCCGTTGGAACCGTCAGGGCCGGTGGGGCCATTGGAGCCGTTGGGGGCATTTGGGTCATTGGGGCCTTTGGAGCCATTGGGGCCATTGGAGCCGTTGGGGCAGTCGGCCACCAGTCAGCGTCCCCGGGGTTCCACACTGATGAATCAGAGTCGTGCTCAGAGTCGGACCATACGTCGTCTTCTGCAGCGTTGTTTCCCCTGCTGCTGTCTCCAGACGGGATGAACTCCTCACATTCTGTCCTCCTCTGCCTGAAGAGTTTGGATATGGTTTCACCCACAGCTGAGAAAAACCTCGTGAGGAACGGTTTCTCCACAGAACTTAAAATATGTTTCATGAAACAAGAGACGACTGCGCTGTCAAATGTTGCCGTTTCGAAAAGCAGCAGGGCTCTGAGTTCACGGGAACACTTCAATGCTTTACAGATGCTGCTGTAGATTTTCTTGTTAAGTTTTAAGGCTCTTTCTGTGTCGATTTGAACTTCTTCCTTCTGAATTTCAGCCCAGATTTTGCCTACGAGCCGTCTGTGCGTGGCCCCAGTGTTCAGAAGAGAGACGTTGATGTGCTCTTTGGAGGCTCTGAGGAGCTGAGAAATCAGCTCGTGCACCATGATGTTCACTACAGTCTTTGCTCCTTCCTCTTCTAAGTCTGCAGCCAGCTGCTGCATTTCCTCAGATGACGGAACATATAACAGAGTTCCAGGCATGACGGACTCAACAGACGGATAAACCTTGTTCAAGTAGCCGTCCGACTGAGGCTGTAAGTTTTCTACCTCAGTAGCTTTGGCTGACTGATCATCGGATATAAATTCTCGTACAGACGTTACCTCTGAAACTTCGCCCTCAAATGAACTTTTCTCCAAATAAGGGATGTTTTCCTCCTTGTCCACAGAAGAGGATTTGTCTGTCGGTGAGACGTCGGAGTGATTGTCTGCAGGAGTAAACTGTTCTCCCAGAGGGGTGTGAGCAGAGCTCTTCTCCTCTGGGCTTTCTGCTACACTCGATGGTGTAACTGTAGAGGAACGTCTGTGAAAACATTTAGTGAAAAACTTTTTGATCTTCCGTTTCAGACCTCTGACGTTGGTTGCTGGGGAAGACGTTTGGCTCTGGTTCCTGAGTTCTTCGCTTCCTTCTGAAGGCGCCTCAGGCTGAGCAGCGGAGTCGGGTTTCCCGCAGTCGGCCTGGCTTCCTGGACAGCTCTTCAGGGACACCGTCCTGGCGGACTTGACCCGGTGTTTGTCCACTATCTGAAAGAGTGGAATCCTCTTGCTTCTGGGCAGAGATTTGCACATCAATGAAAAGAGTTCTCGTATCACAACAATGGCTTTTCGAACCACCGCATCCTTTCTGTACATGTCACTTATCTTCTGTATGTAATTCTCTGCAGAATCCTCGTCGTCGGAGGGGAACTTTGATTTGACCCTCTCCGTCACATATTCAACAATTAACCTGTTTAAATCATCAGTGCTGTCGGTTCGGACCTCTTGTTTGACCTTCATACTTTGTGTGAAAGCTTCAGTGACGATGTTGCCCACAACGTCTTCCACCATCTCACACGTCAGTTTCTCACGCTGCAGTTTCTCCAGGATGGACGCCACAAAGAGCTCCATGGTGTCCCCCAGGAGCCGAGCCAGCTTCCAGTTGGTGCTCTGATCTGGGGATCCTGCAGCCAAACTCATCCATTGCTCTGGGGAGAGGTCGCTGAAGAAGCAGTCGACGGCGGGTTTCACGCTCTGCGTGGAAACGGCCTGGTTCTGCGCTGGACGGAAACTCATGGCTGGTTCTGCTCAGTAAAATCACTTCTCTGTGTTCAGATCGACTCAGTGAAAGAACTGAAGAGAACAGATGAACTGAAGCAGCTGCCGTCTGTGTGACGTCGCTTCACACGTCACAGAGATCAAAGAAGATTGTTAGAACTGCTGACGTCTGTGTGTGGGCGGGGCTTAGCGCTCTTTCTGGCGCGAAAACGTCAATCAGGGAAAAAGATCCAAAACAGGCAAAAAGTTTAAATGAATCACAGGAAATAAAAACACAACATATCTGCAGAACAGATATTCATCTCTGACATTTTAGAATAAACGGGACTCTGAGTTCAGCTTTAGTAAATATTTACATTCATTTAGTTTGCACTTATGAAACTTTTATTTATTGGAAAATTCCTTCCGTATTTTTCACTCGTTACTAATATCTGGTCCTTCATCAGGGGCCATGCAGTGCCCAGAGAGCGCCACTGGATGGCGCTGCTGCACTTTTCCAGATTTAAACTGTTTGTTTCTGAACAGCTGAACTTCAACAGCTTCAAAGTGGAAATCAAACAGTTTTTCTGCACATGGATCCGTTTCAGCTTTAACTGTCATCATTACGTTTTTCAGCTGATGAAAATCCAAAACGTCTGAAAAGTAACGCAACATCAGAACCGGTTCCCAGAGAGCTGCGCCCAAGAATACCAATACCGGAAAGTTGAGTGGAAGAAAAATCTCCCAAAAAAAAAAAGGGGGAGTGAGCTGTTTAGTGATCCAAAGTTTCCTTTTCATAAAATAAAGTTTTTATTTGTAAAAATAAAAACTTTATTTTATTTTGAAGGCGAGGAGAGGATCATCCCGGCTGAAGTTTCCAGTCAGATGATCTGGGTCGCCATGGCATCTGCTGGTTCTGGTCCACTGGGTTCTGAAGTCCACAGTCGATGCAGCATCGACCAGAACCTTCAGAGACCTTTAGTCGCATGGCAACAGTGGTACCCCTTCCTGATCCGAACGCTCAGAGGCTCCATGGGAGACGATGAGACTCCAGGTCCAAGAATAAGATGAGGCGTCACAGGAACCAAACACCAACATGGTTTTATCCAGATGTGTGGACCGGATCAGAACCTGAAACCTGGATCCAAACATTTCAAGGCGAAACTCACTGATCATAAACCATCTGACAGGTTTACTGGGAAAGACGAGGCTTTCTGTTCATCAAAGTAAAGGAAATGTTATTTATGTAGCACATTTTCAGCAACGAGGAAATTCAAAGTTCTTCACGGGAATTAAAAGGAAATACAAACCAAATCATAATAAACCAAAGAAAAAGAATCTGATGTTGATCTGAAGAACATAAACCTGAATCATCTGGTTCCATGTCTGGGTCAGTAAAACAAACAGACTGGTCTTTAGAAACAGACTTTCCTCTTCAGGGCATCATTTACATCAATAAGGCCTGAAATTAGGTCCTAAATTTTTGATCGATATTCCAGATAGGAATATTTATTCCAGATAATCCTGTCTGGAATAGGCAGGACTATTCAGATCCATGTGCCTGCAGGCAGAACAAAGAAGCATACATATTTAATAAAATGCAACTTATCTCTGCATGTAATGAATGACCAGAAAGCATTCAGTGATGACTTGCATGGTTGGTTTATAAATGTGATGAAGTTTGTTTCTCCACCCTGACAGTCTGAGAGGTCAAAGTCTAACAGGAAGTGAACTGCAACAGGAAGTCTGAGCTGCTGCCAACGACTGCTTCTCTCTCAATATGTTCAGATTTTGAAACTGAAGGATTCACATGTTGATGGAATGAAAATCATCCGGTGAGTAAATCATCTGATTTTGTTTCTCACTCAGAGTTGAGAAAATCAACAAAAACCTTTTTGTCCTTTTTGTTTCATTAACAGTCAGAAATCTTCAGCTTCAGTTCAGTTTCCAGTCATTTTGTCATTTTAAAGCTTATGTGGGAATATTTTCTGCAGACGTGAGGCACGAGCGTGTCAGACAGGAACCAGAGCACACTGCCTCAGATGTGAATTGAAACGTGTCTGAGTTAAACTAAATAACTTACTTTTCATGTAAACCTTATTGCTTAGAGAAAACTCAATGATGTTTCATAAAAGTGGAACATGTCAGAGAAAAGTTTAGCTATAATGGAACAAACAGAAGTAATGTGCAGATGGAGAGCTTTACTGTTAAACTCTGCAACTTATTAGATCATCACACAACATGAACAGCTGAATGAATGACTGAATTTCCTCCATAGTGTCTCACCAGGTTCTGCAGATAATGAGACGTTAAACGGATTCAGGGATTCAGAACCAGAGGAACATCTGAACCAGAGACACTCTGGTTCAGAGTCCCGGGTAACAGAACTGGGAGAGCAGCCTCTCGTAGAACCAGGCCCTCCATCCGAACCACTTACCCCAGCCATGGCTCCACAATCCCGGGTAGCAGAGGACCGGGATTGTGGAGTCCTGGATTTAGATGCATCCCGTCTCCAACTGATCCAATGAAAGTGTCATTAGAGACTGACTGCTGGATGCAGCCTGATGAGGGTCAGTGTCAGATATTAGCTCTACAGGCTGGACTTTGGCATCCTGGCCTAAAGAAGAAGTTCCCAGAGTGGGGTGGAAACCCAGGGGGTCCAGAGATATTTCTGAATTTAGAATCATAGTGATGTGACCCCCGAGGAATATGTGGCCCAAAGGGACAAAACGAAATAACTATAACATAAATAAATAAATATAGTGCTACATTTATTTACGTAGTGGTAGCATATTGATCGTATTGCCACTACTGCATTTACTACTAGTAACCACCACTAGTAAATAATGCTAATATGCACTGCATCAAATAATGTGGCTTTTAATCATTGATAAAATAAATAAGTTTTTAAAAATATATAAATTATTCTATGTATTTGTTCTTAAGTAAATATTAGGAAATGATCAAATGTATTTCTGGGGGTTGCCAGTTTGGTGGCCCCGGGTCTGAAACATGCAGGTTCTGGTTCTGCAGGGGATCAACCAGATCTAAAGTTTACTGAACACTTTGATTAAGCAGAACATGAGGAGTAAGTTTGTATTTTTTAATGTTAATATGAAACAATATTCAGCAGTGATGCCTGATTTAGTATTATTCTAGTTTATTAAAGCAGGAAAGTGTAAATGAAGGCTGTCATAATGAGAATGTTTTTATACCAGGCTTTAATTAACAATGTTCTCAGTAATGAAGAGAAAAGAAGGCAGTGAAACATTCTGACATGATTTCTTCATTTGTTGCTACATCAAGCCGACTTCCTGTATAATTGTAAAACAGAAACTGTGGGTTCTGTTCATCTGGTTCTATAACATTCTGTAATGTGGAGAACAGAAGCAGCTACTGAGCTTTACTGTACACCTTTGGATATTTTATCACTGTACAATATTTGAATGCTTTCTTGTTTTATTTGCAGTTTTAGGAGGTTAAGACTAATAGTTTTCTTTCCTAAAACAGAGCAGAGTGGAGAAAGACCTGCAGACATGGAACACGACAAACTAATGGACATCATTAAACAAAATCTTAAAGCCAATTTTCAGAAAAAAATGAGCTGGACATACGAGGGAACTTCAGAGAGTCGGACCAAACTCCAGGATGTTTACACAAAGCTCTTCATTGTGCAACAGGCTGACCAACAAGGCTGCATCCAACATGAGATTCTGCATCACTTCAAGCTCCTGATGACAAGTCACCATATATGGAGTCAGACTATGAGCAGATCAACAGTCTGGACATTTTTAAACCAGGAAAAAGGCGTTTCCAACAACCATCAACACAATGTAAAGAAATCCAAAGAGTGATGACAAAAGGCATTGCTGGTATCGGGAAAACGTTTGCCGTCCAAAACTTTTCTCTAAACTGGGCAGAGGGCAAATCCAATCAGCACATTGATTTAATCTTCGTCCTCCCCTTCAGAGAGCTGAACATGATTAAAGATGGGGAACACAGTCTGCTGCAGCTCCTCCTTTACTTCTATCCTGAGCTCAAACCACTCAAAGATGCAAAACAGCTAATTAACGAGAAAATTCTGTTCATCCTTGATGGCCTGGATGAAAACCGATATCCACTGGACTTTAAAGAAGCCATGAGTACGAGTGATATCAATCAGAAAACAAGACTTGATGTGCTGCTGATCAACCTGATCAGAGGCAATTTACTGCATGATGCTTTGCTGTGGATTACATCCAGACCTGCTGCAGCCTCCCAGATTCCCTGGAAATACATTGACCAGGTGACAGAAGTGCAGGGATTCACAGACCAAGAAAAGAACAACTACTTCCGAAAGAGACTGAGTTCTGTCCAGAAGGCTGAAGAACTGCTGTCGGCTCTCAGAGGGATGATAAGCTTCCACTTAATGGGACATATCCCTGTCTTCTGTTGGATTATTGCTGAGGTATTTAAGAAGGGATGGAGTGACCGAAGAATCACCACAATGACTGAGTTGTACATCTATTACATCCTGATCCAAACCAAAAGAACAACACAGAAATATGAGTCAAAGAGTTCCAGGAAAGAATCCCAAAAGAGAGTTTCAAATCTTCAGAGCACTGGTTTACTGTTGAAACTATCCAAACTGGCCTTTGAGCAGCTTCATAAAGGAAACATCATCTTTTATGAGGAAGACCTCACAGAGTGTGGCATTGATGCTGATGACGCTTCTTTGTTTTGTGGGCTTTGCTCAGAAATCCTGAAGCAGGAATTTGGTCTGTACCAGAAGAAGATGTTCAGTTTTGTGCATTTGAGCTTTCAGGAGTTTCTATCTGCTTTTTACGTGTTGCACTGCTGCAAGACGAACAACCTTCATCCTCTGAGGTCCTTCCTGGGAGTTGACCCTGCAGATACGAGCTTCCTGGAGCTGCAGAAAAAGGTGGTAGATAAAGCCTTGCAGAGTGAGAAGGGTCAGTTAGACCTGTTTCTCTGTTTCTTCCTTGGACTCTCACTGAGGTCAAATCAAGAAATGATCCAAAGTTTGCTTCCCCAGACGGAGAGAAGCTCGGACACTACTGACAGTTTAAAAGCTTATATAAGGAATTTTCATGCCGATAACATCCCGACAGAGAGGTGCATTAATCTTTTCCTTTGCAAGTTTGAGCTCAAAGAAAGAGAATTTCAGGATGACGTTGGGAAGTACCTGAAATTAGGAGTGAGGCTGTCAACCATTGACTGCTCAGTGCTGTCAACCCTGCTGCAGATGTCTGGTGAAGTGATTGAAGAGCTCGATCTGACCAGATGCTGCATATTGGATTCTGGGACTGAGAAGCTTCTCCAGCTAGTAGGAAACTGCAGGAAAGCTGTGTGAGTATCAACAGATAGATTCAATCAAAGGACATGAACACAACAAGAATTCATGTATAATTATTGCACTAAACTTGGTATAAACTCTCGTTCATAATGCCTGTTTCTGGTTATGAGTTTTATTAATCCCATTATTTGTGTGTATAAATCCCACAGACTCAAGAGCAGACATGTGCAAGACTTTAACCTCCACATACTGCTGTCCGTTCTTCAGTCAGAAGAGTCAAGCTTACAGGAACTGTGTCTGCATGGAACTCATACCATACAGACGCCGCTTCCTTTTGAGCTCTTTGTGGTGCTGGAGAGCCCTGTGTGCAAACTGCAGACCCTCAGGTCAGTCCTACGAACTGTTTAGTCTGATTTCAATGATTTAATTCATTTAGTATTAATTATTCATTAATATTCATTAAGTATGAATTACTTACAGGGTTTGTTTTCTCACAGATTGTCTGGTTTCTCGCTGGACTTCATGAGGCGTCGCCAACTTGCCACCGTGCTTCAGGTCGAACAATCCAACTTGACAACTTTGGACCTGACAAACTGTACTTACAGTTATGTTAAGAATTACTCTGGAAATTTTTCAGAACATGAGAAGAAGGAAAAATATGAAGATTTTATTGACGAACCATTGACTCTGATTTCCACTGGATTGATTGGGCCTCTCTGTAAACTGAAGGACTTTGGGTAAATAACCTGAAGATCATGGAAGAGGTATTTATCTCCTGTTAACATTATGCTCACATATTTCCTCTGATTGCAGGATGAAGAGCTGTAATCTGAGAAGTGGATGCTGTCAGGTGTTTGCCGCGGCTCTCAGGTCCAACACCCAGCTGAGAAAACTGGATCTGAGTAACAACCAGATCCAGGATCTGGGAGTGCAGCTGCTCTCCGGTGGACTGGGTGATTCAAACTGTCGGTTGGAGTCTCTCAGGTGATCATTCCTCTTTACTCATCACAAAGAACAGAACACATTTTATCTTTGTGGTGTAATTCCCCATTGCTCAGGCTGCCAGGACATGGAAGATTTCTTGATCACACAGCAGCTGTTGGTCGTTGATGTTTGCAGAGACGTTTAGAAAAGGCAAACCTGGAGCTTCTGTTTTGATAGATTCAAATATACCCAACACAATGGTTTTGTTTCACCTTCCTGAATATAAAACCTGGAAACCTGCGAATATTCAGACATGTTTGGTCTGAGACAATAAAGTAGATATGGATGATAAGGGCAGTTGCCCAGGGCGGTATCACAAAGAGGTGGGAGACTTCCAGGGTGTTCTAATTGTTATATTAATCAGTTATTACATTTTGTTATATGTATAAAACACTTACTGCACTATGCATTGCAGTATGGAGTAGCATATAAACTACAGGTAAAAATATAGTACATAGCAACACATTTATCCATAATAAACATAGATGGTCTATGCTTAAATTGCAATATATTAGAAAATATAAATAATAAATCTCATAAAATCATTGCTTAATATATTATACTGTAATTTTCCATATAATATATTGTATTATATTTCTTCAGAAGGGTTTTGGGGACTTGCTGCAGCAGTCTCAGGCAGGAAGGACATTTTATTGCTCATTTTATCCTCAGAGTTTCTCACATGGGCAGAGATTTAATCTCGTTTTGTGTTTGGGATCCTTTCCTCTCTGCAGGTTGTCATGCTGTGGGATCTCACAGGAAGGATGTGCCTCTTTGGCCTCGGCTCTGAAGTCCAACCCTCTCTGTCTAACAGAGCTGGACGTGAGCTACAACCATCCGGGACAGCTTGGAGTCAAGATGCTCCTGGAGAGACTGGAGGACCCGAAATGCAGACTGGAGAAACTCAAGTCAGTCCTTTAACAGAAATGTTTATTAGAGCTTCACATTTTCTGTGGAATAATCCTTTTATCTGTCTACCTCTGAAATACAGTCTTCTATTTCACTCACTGACAAAAGAAGAAATCTTTAAATTCAGTCTAGGAATCAGTGATGATTGTTTAAATAAGGTTAACACTTTATACTCTTTATACTGATAGAGTCATGAATGGAACAATATACCATAAGCTGTTGCAGGAATGTCTAAAATTCAACCAAATCAAAGTCTGAAGGTCATGCTACATAGATGGCTAAATTAATACAGTTTATTCCAGTCTTAATATAGTTTAATGGAGTCTGGTTGCACACTAGACTATGAAATGCTACATAAGTCAAAGCTAAAGCAGAACTGCAGCTGCAGCAGTGATGTGTTGGCCAGCGTCCTACTGTACATCTCCAGATGGCTAAATCATAATAATGACCTCAGAGCACTTAGCTCAAACATCACTGAAAAGCTTGATGACAGCATGATGGGACTTTCTCAAAATGACAGATTCCCCACTAACCCCTGCAGTCAAGCACCATCTGCAGAAACTGACATTTTACAATAGAATATAATTCACAACTTCCTTTTGAGTTTTTCCTCTTGCTCTTGTCTTGTCAGTGTGGAGCATAATGAAGAGTACTGGATCAACCCACAGCTTCTGAACAAATGTAAGGCTTATTGTGCTCAATAAAATGTTGCTGTTTGTCTCTGTAACTGGTTATTTCTTTTTCAGACGCCTGCGATTTGACCTTTGACATAAATACTGCCAATAAATACCTGATCCTGTCTGAGAGTAACAGAACAGTTCGTTTGACGGAGGAAAAGCAGAAGTATCCTGATCACCCAGAGAGGTTTAAATATGAGGGTCAGGTGATGTGCAGAGAAGCTCTGACTGGACGCCATTACTGGGAGGTGGAGGGAACTTCAGTCAAAAACCTGGGCGTTGCCTTTCAGGAGGTTAAGAGGAAAGGATGCAACTTTCAGATGGACTGGAGCAATAAGACGTGGATGTTGCATAACTATTTACTGCATGGCTTCACGTTTCGCCACGGACATCAGGAGGTCTACGTTCCGATCACATTTATTGATGACCAAGGATTCGTGGCCCGACCCCGACCCATGAGAGTTGGACTGTTTCTGGACTGGCCAGCTGGGATTCTGTGTTTTTACTGGCTGTCTGGTGACACAAGAACTCTGCTTCACACCTTCCACTCAACGTTCACGGAGCCTGTTTACCCAGCGTTCACTGTTCAGGCCTTTTCTTTGACTCTGCTGCCTGCTGACAAACTGGAAACAGAACATGTGAGTGATTCTTGTTACTGAACCTGAACTGCAGCTGAGAAGTTTCTTCACTTTGACATTCTTGTGTTCAAGGTTCCTGTGAGCTTCACACCTGAGGTGAGCAGAGAGAGGATCGGCGTCTCTTACAGGTGAGACAACCACTTCATAAGGTTTCCTTATGTTAGATCTTTGACCAAATTTTGATTTGGTAATCAAAGTTGTTTTTGACCCAAAGCTCATTTTAAGTGCTGTAACAGCAGCCGATGCTGTGATCAGGTCAGAAGGAGTCCAGGGTTATTAATACTGGCTTTGGTTTTTTTAGCTCCCATAAATGAGATTTTACCTCCAAATGAATGAGATTGTTTCCTGGTCTGACATGCATGTCTGTTAAACCTTCAGGCATGTTAGATTTAACATGAATGTCTGGAACCAGGCGTCTTCCTAACCCCAACCCTAACCCTAACCCTAACCATAACCCCGATGGTGTTGAAGGCTGAGCTGAAGTCGACACACAGGATTGTGACCTTCGACCCTGGACGGTGCAGGATGAAACACATTGTCAGGTTGACTGCATCACTTGCCAACCAATCAGAGGAGGTCTAGCAGAGGGTCTGTCATGGATCCTTCATGAGGGATTTAAACATGGAGGTGTCAGCTGTTCCCTCAACACTTGGACTCCTCGCCTGCAGAGCGAGACCTGACCCAGAACTCACAGAGAATCGTCTCGCTGGTTTATTGGAGAAGATTTTCCTGGATTCTAAGAGCCAATGTCTGAATGCCCCATCCTGAACCAGCTGATCCAGGTTTAGAGACTTCATCAAGTTTTACAAGGCAACCTGTGAAAACTCACCATAAATGTGTGAACCATCCACTAAGACAGTTTTACTGCTTTTGAAGAACATGAGATTACAGAGACACAATGACTAAATGTTCACTGCTTCTTTGATTAGTTACCAGGTCAGAAACCATTTAATCAGTTGGAGAAATAATTCAACTGATTAAATTGAATCATCTTAATCTAACCTTTCTTTCCTTAATGCTGACGCTGAATCTAGTTAACATAGTTGATGTTTTGGATGAAGGAAACATCAGGAAATGTTCTGTTCCTTGGAGTTGATGGATGGATCTTTTTCAGCTTCCAGTTTCCTGGTTCAGGTCTGTTCCGATGTTCTCTGACTGGTCTGGTGTTCGGAGTGACCCGGGAGGCGAAGCTGACCTACAAGACTCAAATCTGGGATGAGAAGCTGCTTCAGACGGCGAACAAACTGCCAGGCGGCCCTTTGTTCAGCATCGAATGTCGTCAGGACTGTATCAGAGAGCTGCAGCTGCCACACTGTCAGCCTGAAGCAGGTAAACCTTCGGTTCCTCTGGTTCCTACGATTCCTCCAGTTCCTATGGTTCCTCTGGTTCCTCCAGTTCCTCCGGTTCCTACGATTCCCCCGGTTCCTCTGGTTCCTCTGGTTCCTATGGTTCCTCTGGTTCCTATGGTTCCTCTGGTTCCTCCAGTTCCTATGGTTCCTCTGGTTCCTATGGTTCCTCTGGTTCCTCCAGTTCCTATGGTTCCTCTGGTTCCTATGGTTCCTCTGGTTCCTCCAGTTCCTCCGGTTCCTACGATTCCCCCGGTTCCCCCGGTTCCCCCGGTTCCCCCGGTTCCTCCGGTTCCTCTCTAATGGACCTGTGCTTCCCCCCCAGCCCTGCTGCCTGCCTGCCTCTCGGTCGGCCACATCACTGATGATGGGATGAGCGTCGTTCCGTCACTGAGGGTCACAGAAACCCACGTGGTGGTGAGCGTCTCACAGCTTTCTGGCTTCGGCGTCGTGTTGGACCGGATCAAGAGGTTCCTGACCAAGCCGATTCGGGGCCAAGTTCTGCTGTTCCTGAGACGGCTGCAGCGACCGCTCAGCATCCTCAGTGTGATTCTGCTGCCCAGCAACGTTCCTCTGCAGGACGTGAATCTTTAACCCGATGTTTTAAAGAGGATGAACTGATCAGGTTGTTTCTTTTAAAACTAACAAATGGTTCTGACTTGAAGGTGAAAGAGCAGCACAACGGTTCCAAGTTCATCCAGGCTCCATCCTTCTGCTCCTTCCACAAAGGGAAAACCTACCGCCTCCACAGCGACCCGGCGGGCCTCGCCATCCAACCCAAAGTCAGTTTCAGAGCCGCAGTCTGCTCACTGGGAGCTGAAATACACCCAGTAAGACGCCCGTCTTCTTGCAGGCGGCTCAGTTCTTTGAGAACTACGGACCAAATTACCACGCCACGTTTGAGATCACGCTGCCGACGAGAACGGAGGACGTGACGGTGACGGTCCAGAGTCCGGAAGAGGAAAACGTCTGGGACTACGCCCTGCACCTGCCAGGTACGCAAACCATCTGCCAGCTTAATGGAGAGACTTCCTGCTGTTAGCTTCAGCTGCCTGCAGGAGAAACGGACGAAAGGATCTGGATTTATCTTAATAACTCAGTTTCATGCATGTTAGCTGTTTGTTGGTGCTGATTAATCAAGTGATACTTCAGACAAAAGAAATGAGAAAAAGAAAATCCAGCTGTTACTGTTTGATTTCACAGAAAGTCTGCCCCCTGCTGGACTTTACCTGGCTTTGCAGGATAATCATGTCATCATTTATTCTGGATCTTTGTTTGAATTCTGACAACAAATGTTTTTATCTAAGCAGCATCATGAATAAATATGATTGATTCCACAGTGAAAACATGTTAGAAATGCTTTTAAAAGAGAAAATGGGATTTTTATTCTGAGGAGCATTTTATTTTGAAAGGCCAGCAAACTCCCCTGACCAGAACCTCATCGGGTCTGTGGAGAATTAGAGGAAGATGAGACAAAGTAACCAACGATGAAGATGAGCTGAAGGTTCTGCCAGAGCACACTGGGTTTCCAGAACCTCAGCAGAACCTGAGGCTGGTGTCCGTGTCATGCTGCACTGATGCAGGAAGGAAAAGGAGCCCAGACCTAGAAATGTTCCCAGATGATGTTTATGTTAAAGATATTATATTTCATTGATCTGACGTAATATTCTGATGTTCTGAAACATTTCATTTTGGGTTTTCATTCTCTGTAATCAACAACATTGAAGATGGGAAAGATTCACTCTGAGTGTAATAGATCTACGTAACAGATCCGTTTTACTCTCTGAACTGAGGGACAGAAAACTCAGAACTTTTTCATCACATTCTGATGTTTAGAGATGAAGACATATTATATTATATTCCACTGGAAAATCACAGTTGGACGTTTGGATGATTCCAGGTGATTCCAGATTATTACAGATTATTCCAGATGTTTCTGGATGTTTCTAGATGTTTCTGGATGATTCTAGATGTTTCTGCTTCCTGTCGTCTCGTTTCTGTCTGCAGCCTCTCCTGGACCAGCAGACCAAAGGCGACTGCGGCTCGCAGAAAGTTTGTCAGCGGGGGAGAAGCTGAGAAGCGTCCGGCCGGACTTCATCGATCACGTGTCCAACCCGGTTCTGGACAAGCTGCTGGACGAGCTGCAGCACTGCAGGGTGATATCAGACGCTGAGGCGGACCAGATCAGAACCAAACCCAGAGCAGAAAAAGCCCGAGAGATGATTGACACGGTGAGGAAGAAAGGAGCAGAGGCCAGCTCCAGAATGACCTCTGCCCTCTGCGCCAATGACCCGTATCTGAGCAGCGAACTGGGCTTACTGTGACGGACAGAACCAGACAGAACCGGACAGAACCAGGAAGAACCAGGAAAAACCGGACAGAACCAGGAAGAACCGGACAGAACCAGGAAGAACCAGACAGAACCAGGAAGAACCAGGAAGAACCGGACAGAACCAGGAAGAACTGGACAGAACCAGACAGAACCGGACAGAACCAGACAGAACCGGACAGAACTGGACATTGAAACGATGATTTTATTCCCGCATGTCGACTTTGCGTTCTGAGAGTATTTTAGTGATTCTTCGTGTTTCGTGTTGCACTGTGTGACGAATCAGACGATCAGCAGCAGGAAAACCAGAAGATGATCAAATAAATGCTGATGATTTTGCTGCTTCCTTCAACAGATGATTTAATGACAGGTGATCAACAATAGAGCTTTAATACAAATCGTTAAAGAACTGAAAGCAAAACATAAAAGTTCAACATTAATACCATTTCTGGTCCATCCAGGATCTGATCTCAGCAGGTTGAAACTTTCTGCGTAGAGAACAAGAAGATGACAAAATGAACATTATTTTTATTGAAGGTTAATATCAATTCAATCACCTCAACTTTAATACTTCACTTTTTAGTTGTACTTACATTAATACATTATAATAAATGTCAAAAACATTCACCAGATCGACAGAGAATCTGAAGAAACTCAGAACAGAAAATAATGGACATATTGATAAACCTGATCAGCTGCTGCCTGCAGTACTCCTCCTGTCCACCAGAGGGAGGTAGAGACCAATCTAATGTCTAAGAAGCAGCATGAGGAATAAACATATTAAAATCATTTATTTGAGTTTAAACGCCAACAGAACTGTATTAATCTGTGTGAAGATGAGTTTAGTTCATATTTTCTGTTTTTGTGATGTTTAAAATCTTCCTCTGATTATTTGATGATCATGGATGTGAAACATTGTGAACAAGCATCAGACATGAGAACCGGGTCTGTGTGCTTGTGGTGCTAACGTCTGTTTTCACTTTGCCGGGGAAACAATACCTGACTGAGTCGGTTTCAGGATTGACCTCAAAGTTTTGCTCACGTCATTCAGAGACGAGAGAGCCGCTCTGAGGTTTCACACCTGATGCTGCTGCAGTGGGTCTCTGCTCTTTGTCCTGGGAGGGTTTCGAGGCAGAAGAGGCAGGGCTGCTGCTGCAGGCCTCATTAAATGCTCTGCTGCTTTAAAAGCTGCAGCAAAGGGAGGCTTTTCTCCTCTCAGATCTCCACTTGGTTTGGTTTGTATCTTAGGTTTTGTTGGGTTTTGTCTTGCATTTGCTTATTTCTGGTTAGTTATGGGTTTTGTCATTAACTTATTTTGGTTTCTCATTTCAGGTATTTGTGTCAGTTGTTATTTCTTCAGTATACTTTAATAAATTCATTTTCTCTTAATTTGGTCTCCTTTAATGTTTCCAAACGAGGCTGGAGAAAAAAACACACCGAAACACGAAGCGTCAAACATCTGGAGGAAACAACCAGCTGCTGTCAGAGACAATCATCACTTCACTCAACAGACTCCATGAAACATGGATGGATACGAGAAGAAACAGGAAGCAGAAATTACAACCATAAAAATATTAAGTAGATTGAAAATATGACAGAAACTTCCTCATCTGACCAACATGGATCCAGACGCTTCAGATTCACGTCTGAATCTGAGGATCATTTCCTGCAGCTTCATCTGGCTGCATTTTGGTGAAATAATTATAACATAATTTCATTTCACCACATTAAGTCAGATATCAGAGAGAAAAACCAAAAGCTGTGAATGTGTGAACATGAAGGCCAGGAGGTTCCTGACACTCTGGTTGAAGTTCAGACCACTGCGCTGCAAATGTGATGAACTGAAACTAACACTGTGAAAGTCAAATTAAAGCAGCAGATTCAGCAGATCTGCAACAGAAATTCATGTATTCATGTTAATCTGAAGCTTCTGCCTTCATCTCAGCTCAGTTCCTCCATCCTGACCAGCTGCTGGGATCTGATTATTTCTGTTTTCCATCTTTTAATCTTCCTGCTTCCACAGGTTAAATAACCGGCATAACAACCTTTATGCAAATATAATATCTCTAAGCAAATCAGGAGCCTGCTAAACAGGTTAAAGTTCAACATGTGACTCTGATGGTTATTAATAACGTCTCTGTTTATGGTTTATTTGTATATTTCCAGTCTGGCTCCAGCTGGTTCTGCTCAGCAAACACTGAGCTCTGCTTCTCTCTTTACCTCCAACCGACGTCCAGAAACGAAGGAGGAACTCTCCTTTAACCACCAGCTAACGAGCAACGAATCTCTGAGCAAACAGGAAGCCGTTTGTTCTGCAAAACCTTTGGAGAAATGCAAATCTAACATTTTGTGGTCTTTGACATTAAATATATTCTGAAATATTTAAATAATCAGAAACTACAGCTGACAAAGCAACTTCATCTGTGATCCAGTCAAATCAGCAAATTCAAAATATGTTTATGAGTCAAAGCCATGATCTGCAGCAATAAACTGGAAGGAGTCAGAAAAGGTTTCATAAGGTGAAGTAGTGATGGTGGCCAGAGGTGGAGAGCAGATTCAGGAATCGGTTATCCAAGAGGAACAAACAACGGAGAGACGGCCGGATCTTTAGATTCTGCAGAACCGATGAACAATGGACTGGACTGGTGCTGATTATAAAACCAGACGCAGCTGAGAGGGCAGAGGAAGAGAGACACAAATGAACTAAAACAAATGAACTGAAACAAATGAACTGAAACAAATGAACTAAAACAAATGAACTGAAACAAGCCAAAGAAGAATAATGAAGCCAAAATACAAATAAGAAATGAACAAAATTATAAATGCAGAAAAAAACGATCCTTTTTTTCTCTTATCCAGCAGTTTCAACTATAATCGTCTGTTTTGTGCTGAATTTGATTGTTTTGGTGGTTTAGTTCAATAAAGAAGTCGAGGACGGGTCACTGACGCCTCACAGCTTCACTGACAACAGAATCCATGATGACTTTGGAAATGAAAGCATGAGACTCAGCTATAAAGCTGCTTGTCTTCCTGCTCTTGTTTCATCATGTTTAGTTTCTAGGTGTTGATCTGCTGCACATCAGAAAGTCTGATTTCTGCAGATCAGGTTCAGATCTTCCAGCTTTTTCTTTGCTCATATTCTGCAGAACGTTCTTCTGATCTGGTCTGTTTTTATCTCATTAAAGCAGGTCACATGGTTTCTAGCTACTTTCTGTAATGCAGAGTTTTTCCAGCCTTTTGTTGTTGCAATAAAAGCTGTAGTTCTAAAGTTACTGCCCTGCAGACACGGGGCCTTCATGAGCCATTACTGTGCAGACTGGAGGAGGTTTTGTTTCTGGGGCAGAGAAGCAGGAAGTCCAGCCACAACATTAACAGAATAGACTGTCTAATTCTGCTGGACTCTACCTGAATACGTCTTTGTTCACCAGATGCTGTGAGTTTTGATGCCACACAGTAAAATCAGTTGTGCATGTGAGGGTTTATGTCATGATTACATGTTTGGTTCAGCGACTCAGGAAGAGTCAGACTGAGGCGCTGAAGAGAAAAACAGCAGCTGACAGACGAACGAATGCTGCAAATCTCCGATCGACCCGAGTTTACCCGACTGCCAGGAGGGAAAACAGATACTGGACCAAGAGCACATCCAGGAGGAACGCCTGAAAATTCACCTTTATACTTCACTCCTCTTTCATGAAACCAAAACATTCAGACTGCAGGTCGGATCATGTTTCTGCCTCCTGACGTCTCAAACATGTGACTGCAGCTTTCAGACATGTAGACACACATCTGCTCAGGTATTCATGCCAATGTGTCAACAAAAGCCCTGTTGCATTGTGGTTGTGGTTGGGTCTGCAAACATCTGAGGTTTTTCACGGTTCTGAGAACTAGAGCAGATTATGAGGAAGAAAAGATTCAACAACTGAAAATACTGGACATGAGAAACGACCCGGTCTGAACGTCTGCAGCCCGCTCACCGAAACACCCTGCTGTCCTTCTGCTGGGCCAGACATCAAATCACTAACCTCATAACATTATGACCACCATCGGCTAGTTTATTACCTCTGAATATATTTATATATGTTGCTACACAATAGCATCGTCTTGTTGGTCGTATCTTTTAGATTCTGCAGATCTGACCCAGTCCAGTCACAGCTGGTGTTGCTCCAGTTGCTCCAAGGCAGCATCACCACAGCAGAGCATTCACTGACTGGTTCCCTCATGAACAAACGGTCCAGTTCAGACTGGTCCCAATTCTGAGTCAGAAACAACCAATCAGAGCCAGAAGGGGCTTAGTGCTGTCAATAATCCTCATGTTCACACTGCTAAATGTCCTGATGCATCAGAAATAGGTCAGTGTTACAGTAAAACCGTTTATCCACCATCATCTGTGGCCATGCTAACTAGCATTAGCATTCACGGCTGAATGCTAATGCATTCAGCCACATGGTGATGATTTATGAAATATGTAAAAACATATTCCATTTTAAATATTGCATGCTGCAGCTTTAAGGAGAAACTGGAAGTGAAACTTTCTGCTCTTCAGTTGTTCTGTTTTATGACAGATAAAATTTACAAGGCAAAGCAGATATTGCATGTCGTATTTGAATCTTTGCATCAGTTAAACCAGCAGAAACAGGGTGGAGACGTTTTACACATCATAAGTTCTATCACTTTCTTTTTCTTTGGGCAGTTTGAATATACTTAGTTTAGAGCCAAATCTGTAAATGATATTTATAATTCTTTAGAATACTTTGGTAACTTTTAAACCTTCCCGTTAAGTTAAACGTTATGAACCGGCTGTGATGACAGGAGGTTTTAGAAAATCATTTTGTGACTATTTTTGGAACATGAAATGTCAGATTAACTTTTGTTTTCAGCTGTAAGTTCCTGAGATTTTTTGTTTTGTCTATATTGTTGTAAATATCTGAAGCTTTTCAAACAATGACTTCAGGAAAACTCGCCCGTTTCCTCCCACGGCCTTCGTCTCGTTTTGTTTAAGGGCCAAAAGAAGAAGGAGGAAGGAATCAGGTCAGCTCTTTTAACCTCAGGCCAGTTCAGCGTTTTGCTGCTGACATCACTTCTTGATCGTATTTTTCCTCCATGTTGAATATTCTCTACTTCCCTCCGTCTCTCTCCTGTCTTCAGATTCAGATTTCAACAGTTAGATATTAACCAATATAACACAACACTATAATCCATCAGATCTGCTGCTGCTGCCTCCAACAGGAACAGGAAACTCATGTTTTTCTCCTTAACCTTTATTGATTTTGGCCAATCAGATAAAACCTTAAAACGTATCAATGTTATCAGAGTCGGTACTGGGCCTTCAGCTAACTGGAGAGTATTTGCAGAATCGATTGGATTCTTCCAGGAAGAGCTGCACCCACAAGAAAAATGCTTCATCAACCTCCGGTGGAACAGCGGTGGAAAGTTGGCTGGTTTCTCAGATCGCTGCTTCGCCTTCAGGCTGAATGTGAAAAGACAGAACAAGCTTTGAGCTCTCAGCTCAGTTCTGTTGGTTCTGATCCGTGAAGCTCAGTGGATCCAACAAACCTCAGAGTTTCTCTGTCCTCCAGCAGACATGAAGATTTTGACCTCTAACAGTGAGACCACAGCCCAGCAGTGAGACGATGATGATGATGATGATGATGTGATGATGATGATGATGATGATGATGATGATGATGCTGGTACAGACATGGATAAGCTGTGCAGGCTGAGTTTGCGCGCGGTGGATCAGCCGTGGGCGTCAGAAGGTTCTGCTGCGGTTCCTGCAGCGCTGGCTGTGAGGGGATGTGGTGGTCGCGTGACGCCTCTGCTGCGCTCAGCTTCTTTCTCACCAGTCTGGTTAACAGGACGGCTTTAATGGCTGGACGCAGATCTGCCTTTGTCTGATCACATGACAGGAAGTGAGTTGGGGTTCGTTACGGTTCTCAGCAGGACGACAAGAACAGGGTCTGAAAAAAATGTAAACCGCTAAAATAAACATCTAAAAGCTTCAGAGATGTGAATAGTCTGCATCTTGACACGTTGAAGGTTAAATATGGAGATATAATAGAGGTAAAAACTTCTGTTAAAACCTCCCTGAGAAGAGAACAGAGTTAAAGTTATGTCGCCTTTTGGCCTAGTCAAAACAACAAAGCATTCCTCTTTTCTGTCTCCTGAATGCAGAAGGCCTCTCGTAACAGACCTGGTTCTGGTTCTGTTAGTGTGGGTGGTTCTTTTGCCACAAACTAAAAGTTACATTTTTCACCATATTCTCGATGCCTTGATTATCGGCATGTTGCAGCTTCTATAGAGTGAAAATGATTCAGGAGGTTTTATATCAAACCTAAAATCACTCATGACTCTTAAAAATGGAACAAGTGACATAAATAACATTAATATGCAGTAAATCAATAAGCAGCGACCAGAAAACAGATCAAAACTGAGTTTAACATCTGTTTGATTAACTTTGACAAAAGCATCGACTTTAATTGTCTGAACTGTTAAATGTTTAAATGTTTTTAACCATCATTAAAAAGTCTCCATTTCTGAAACACAGCAAGCAGGAAGTTAGAAGGAAACAGACGACATTCTGTAAACAACATGGAGGTAAAGTTCACATCACCTCCATGTTGAGAAACGAGTGAAGATGTTTACATAAAGACTGAAAGCTGATTGGTGAGAGAAAACTGCAAACGATGCGAACAAACAGAGGTTTGTTGCTTCATGTGAAAGATGAAGAAATGTGGAAAATAGATCACAGAACAAGTTCTGCTGAGTGACTCTGACCCCTGGCAGGATGAGAAGCGTTCTGGAGCAGTAACTCGATGAAGTGGAAGCTGATCGCTTTTATTGATACCCTGCAGCAGAAACAGAGTCAGCTGCAGCGTCTCTGATTTAATGATCCATGAGGAGCAGCAGGAAGATGCAGACGGACAGGAAACGGAGCGACTGCCTCCTTCCTGTCGTCCTTCAGGCTCTGGACTCTCAGCTGGTCTTGAGTTTCCTGGATCCACTCGGATCACTGAGTTCTGATCATGTGATGAATCGCGCTGTATCTCATACTTACTGTAAGACTCGTGGGTGATTCATTGATTCTCCTTAGTACAATAATCCACTGGGTAAATCCAGCCAACACTAACATGTTAGCCTAGCCGCTAGCGCTAGCAGCAGAAATGGCTCCTGGTCTTCAGCCAAAGACTAAAAGAGAAACCACTAAACTCTGACGCCTCCATCTTGGTTCATCTGGTGAAAACAGGAAGTTGCTCTCAGCGTCTTCAGAGGTTTTAGTGTCGTTTCCTGCAGTGGTTGTTGGTGCAGCGCCCCCACAGGCCAGGAGGGGAACAGGCTGGTTGGACTCAGAACCACAGCAGCTGGAGGTTCTGTTCCAGATGTTCTGGTTCCAGTAGAACCGAGTCGACAGGTTCTACGGTTTCCTTCCCATCAAGACAAAAACAGCCTTTCTTGTATGAATCGGACTAAAGTTTCTCTGGGATTCTTGTTGAAACGAGGATAAATGAACGTCTTTCTCTCTTGGTTCTCCACCTCAGCTGGATCCTCCAGACTAGCAGCAGCTCCACTCTCAGCTTTTCTCTGAACACGTTACGCTACAGAGGAGATCAGCTGCTTCATGGCATGGAGGAGAGAGTTTGAACAATCAGGAATGAACTTGATCCATTATTGATTAGTGATGGATGGACTCGCTGCCTTCTTCATCTCGATTTGATTTGAATCACTTTGGAATATTATGACTCGTAGTTATCATGTAACTTGTTGCTTCACTGTTTGAGTTTTTGTTTTATTTGTATTAATATCTTTAATTCAAGCTGATATTTGTCTTCAGTTCCTGTTTAAAACAGGAAGCAGTTTTTATCTGTTTCCTTTCATCTCATGATTCTTCAGGGACTTCCTGCTTTGTGTGCTCTTGTTACTATGGATACGGTCACCTGGTACCTGGATCAGGTGTCAGAGTATTGTTCCTTTCACATGATTGTTCCTGTGACAAAGGATTTCTGACAGGATTTTCTTCGGGTTTTTTTTCTCTTTTTGAAACATTATAAATTTTCTAGTAAAAAATCTATTTTCACAAGTTACAGAACAAAAAACATTCATCAGTTATTATTTCTGCTCCATTTAGATCATTTTGAGTTACATCATTATTCTCTCTATATTCCTTTGGAAGCTGCTTCGCGTTTTATTTATATATGTGCGTATATGTGCGTGTTCTTCCCCCATAGTAATAAGGGTTGAAGAGTAGAGATGTAAAGATGGCGCTGGGAGAGGGGGGGGGAGAGGGAGGGGGGAGAGGGGGAGGGGGTGCGTACGCTCCAGCGGAACAGCGAGGAAACTCAGACGTTGTCTGGACGTTACGATGAGATGGAGACTCAGATCGGATGTATTTGCTTGTTTCTCGGTAAGTTGAGCAACTTTCCTCTGTCCGTTTGTGGATCGGATCCGTTTGAAACCGGATCGCGATCAGATTAAACGGACAAGTTTTACTGCGACTTTCAGAAAGTAAAGCCTTGTGAAAATTTACCGCTGTGGATTTTACTAGGACATTTTTAAATGACGAATTAAAACTGAATTTTGAATCAAGAGCTTGAAGAGACTGAATAATTTTTCTCTTTTGTATTTTTACAAAAACAACCACGTTGCATTTATATCCTGGTTTTGTTCAGTTTTTGGGTGTGGCTACATTTGTATTTATGTATTTATTTGTAATTGTAGTTTTAATGATGATTTCTGGCTTTATTCCATAAAATTGTCATGAGTTGCGGGTTTTGTGGTGATGATGCACATGGAACATGTTGAGATGGAAATGATGGTTTTAATGATGATTCATTAATGATGATTCTCAGATGAGCAGAGAGGACAGGAGAAATGGACATCAGACAGGAAACAATCAGGCACAGCAGGAGACAATCAATGGAGGACAACACAGAGACCTAAATATAATAAATAAATAAAAGCTTTCATAGACGGTTGATGGAATATCCTCATTATAATCAACAAAAGCCTGAGAAAAAGACTGAACTTGCCACCAATAATCAATTAGATATTAGCGACACTGAAAACGATCAGTTCATTTCCACTGCTGGTTGTGAACAACGGTGATAACAAACAGTTTCATTTAATTGATGAAAATTCACTGAAAATCAGAATCAAGCAGTCGACCAGAACAGCAGCAACGAGGTTTTTAACAACTTTAGATACGAACGTTTCAAACAGGCCAATGAAAAAGAAGAAAAACAACACACACCATATATATTGTTATATATATATATATATATATAACTATTTTGATCTTGTCATATACAGACGCGATAACGGTGGAAGTTTGTCCTGTTATCTTTGGGTTGTCGGTTTGATTCCGCCCCATCCGTCCTGTTGTTTCCAGGGAAACTTTTCTTTGGAAGAAGAGAGAAACTGAAACCAAAAGTTTAGTTTGAAATGTTTTTCCAATAAATATTCTGTGAATCTCCAAATAGTTTTTCATTCAGTCTGTTTATGGTTTGGTGCCAGTTTGTTTCTAGTAAATGAAAATGCCTGGATGGTTTGGATAAAGTTTCTGTTGTCTCATTTCCTCTCAGGATGTCATTATCATGTTGTATTGATGAGCGTTCAGATCCATTAACAGACCAGCAGCCTGATTTAACTGACCAGTTACTGAACGGAAAAGTCCCAGTGAAATACCATCAACATGCTGCAGCAGAAATCCATCCACCGATTGAATCAAGACAAGATATTCAAGCTCAGACATGTTCCACATTTCAGGATGAGCCAGTTTGACTTGAACAGTTTGAGAAAAACATAAACAAGTAGAACATGGAAGTAGTTTAATGAAGGAAGATTAAAAAAAAAATAAATGTAGTAAAATGAATGTGTGAACCGGTCCTGACCGTTCAGGTCCGGTTCACCTGAAGCGGCGACCAGCCGGCCGCTGGCTGCGAACGCAGCAGCACAGCAGCAACACAGCAACACAGCAGCAGCACAGCAGCAGCAACTGCAGCAGCACAGCAGCAACAGCAGCAACACAGCAACACAGCAGCAGCACAGCAGCAGCACAGCAGCAACAGCAGCAGCAGCAGCAGCAGCAGCAGCAACACAGCAACACAGCAACACAGCAGCACAGCAGCAGCACAGCAGCACAGCAGCAGCACAGCAGCACAGCAGCAACACAGCAGCAGCACAGCAGCAGCAACAGCAGCAACACAGCAGCACAGCAGCAGCACAACAGCAACACAGCAGCAACACAGCAGCAACACAGCAGCACAACAGCAGCACAGCAGCAACAGCAGCAACACAGCAGCACAACAGCAACACAGCAGCAACACAGCAGCACAGCAGCAACAGCAGCTGGTTCCTGTTAGTATCTGCTGGAGTTCAGCCAATGAAGCACAAGGTCAGACTTATTATGTGTGGAAATGCAGAGTGAAGAAATAACTGTTATTCAGACCATGAGGCAACAGCTGTGGAGGTTTGGAAACCAGTTTAGTTGTGTCATCATGAAAATGATGACACAACTAAACTGAGTGGGAATTTAGTTTTGCTCAGCAGATGAGAAAAACTTTTCAAACATCCTGACTGAGCAAAAAGACTCAGAACTGAAGAAGTTTGAATTCTTCTCCTTATTCCAGAATAAATAATCCTCCAGCAGATCAGAAAGTGTTGATGAGACCGTATGGATCAGAAACACTTTGTGTCACATTTATGAAGTTTTTATGCTGCGTTGGTGACCATAAAGCTTATTTTACTTCCCCTTAATAAATCTATCATGAGGATGTTATGAGATTCACTTGTTGAATATAAAAGTTAATAAATATGTATGTAATATCTAACACTGCGAAAAGCAGAAAATACATATTGATCATCATAAACTCAATAATTCAACATGGAAGTAATTAAAGATACATTCTTGTTTTCTTTTCTTTTATGGCGTATCTTTTACTCCATAAAACAGGAACTGAAGTAGAATAAATATTAATTGCATTATTGAATTATACATTTTATATTTTTAACTGACCAACCAAAGGTCCAGTTCCTATTGGTTGAAGTTTTCCCGTATCACCATACCGCCACCACCACACTGACCCGTAACACCAAAACCCAGAAACATTTATACAGTTTTATTCTTCATAAAGTGTTGCTGCATGTTTGTCTTCCTCCATGTTGATGTTCCTTTAAGCAAGGCATTAAACCCAGAGTTTCTGTTAATCTGCATGTTTTCTCCTGCAGCTGCTTGAATGAGGATCAATAACAGAAAAACCATGAAAACGTTGAGCTTCTATAAATATGTTTGGTTCATATTTTTATTTATTGAAACTGCAGCAGAAACATCGAGCAGTTCGTGGAGAGAGACCAGGATTTTCTGCTCATGTTTAATGGAAACATATCAGCAGCTGGTCGGTTATGTGATGTTTTCATGTTTCCAAATATTTACTCCCTTCAGGCGTTTTGCTGCTGCAGGCAGGAAACATCTTGTTCATAAAGCATGAAACATGTTTTTGTTGATATACAAGGAAGATTCTGTAATCAAAAAGTTTTCATAATTTAATTTAAAGACATTTGTTTGAAATGCAACTGCAGTTCAGAAACTGGGATAAAAACGTTTCCTGGTTTTTAGTTTGTGTTGAAAAAAACAAATCAAATCCAGAATCAGTGAACTGATGTTTAACAGAAATACATCCATCCTGACATGCATCAAATATCTACCAAGATGATAAATACAGCTCAACTGTAATCATAGAAATAATCATAGGCTCTATATTCATACACCTGGCAGATTTAATGACTGTCTTTCTTTATTATGTTAATTATTTTACAGGTTTTATATCACATTTCTATACAAATACAAGCAAAGCCCAGTGTAGCTTTACTCTGCATATAAACTAATTTACAACAATAAGTCCTGAAGTTTCATAACATTTGATAATTTTCTGGTCACCTATTGATCAGAACTCCAACCGTTCAGGAACATCATGCTCAGTCTTCACCTCCTCAGTTTCCATTTCCTGACACCTTGACCCAGTGGGGTCAGGAGGAGCTGCTGCCTCTCCAGCTGCATTCTGGGTGAGAGGGGGTCCTGGGCAGGTGGCCAGTCTGTCACAGACCTCCTCAGTTTGTCACCAGCATCCTGAGCAGATCCTAATGCGCTACGGTTAGCTTAGCATATGTGTCTGGAGATGAGTCACCATCCTGGTTTCTGCAATTCTCTGTCAGCTTTCTGGTTTTATGGAGAACATTTTCCTCTTTCTGTTTGACCTGCTTCCCATCATGACTGAACACAATATAAATAACATGTTGCCAGAGAAACATTGTTGGATGATCTGCGACATCAGTCACATGCAGTGGGTGAAGCTGACCCAACAGAAAGGTCAGAGGTTGTTTGTCTTGAGAAACATTTACAAGTTTAAATAAATATTTATAGCAAAATATTATTTATAAAAATGCATTAAACACATCAGTATAATGTAAAAACTAAAAAAGTCTCAAACTACTGAAAACCTTGTATTTGAAACAAGTTCCTGAAAATGATTTTTCTGCTACCAATTGTTGCATAGAGGCAGATTTTATGTGCAGTGAGCGCTGCTGGGTACCAGCTGTTCACCTCCAGAGAGTTTGAATTTCATAGGAATGATTTTACAAACCTCCTCCAGCTGTTTGCTAATTGCTGCTGGCTAGTCTGAAGGAGCGGAGTGGGGGAGGAGCTGTCTCCTCCCTCCATCTTCCCTCCATCCGTCTGACTCCTGAGAAATGAAACCAGCAGGTCCAGAACCGGACTGGATTCTGCAGAGTGGACAGATTATCAGTCCTATAAAACACTGAGGAAATGATGAATAAAATGATGAATATTAAAGATGAAACAATAATCAGACGTTTCCTTTCTGTTGGCAGGATTTTATCTGATTATCAAATTCAGTCAACATGAATTGTTGAAACCTGAATCTGCCATGACTTTGATCTTTTAGACAAAACATTGAATGATATTTAATAAAGACATTCAGGTCAATATTTCACTTGACTTCCTGTCTCTCCAGTGATTCTGGGATTATCTGCTGGTCGGAAGTGAAGGAGAATCTGACAGGAATCGTTGGAGGAAGCATCGCTCTACCTGGAGGTGTCACAGAGAGAGTATATCTTTTATATGAAAGAACAATCATTGCTTTAGTGTCTGGTGGTGAATTTATTATTGAGGAGAACTTTTATGAGACCAAGCTTCAGTGGAACCGAAGCTCTGGACTCTTTAAGATCACAAACCTGCAGAAGAACGACTCAGGAATCTATACAGTTCAAAAAGGACAAGTTTCTTCTTCATATAAACTCCAAATCTATGGTGAGTATTTATTTTTATTTAGGTTTTTCTCTAATTGTCCAGATCTGAGGTTAAATCAGTTCTAGATATTTATCTTCTGCTAACAGGTTTTAACTTTCCCCAGTGATTTTTAAAATTAATTTGGTTTTATTAATAAAACTATATTAGTCCATAAAGGTGATCATCATCTCATCCTCATCTCTGATGAGGATGAGATGATGAACTGAAATGCTGTCACTGAATGTCTGCTGGTGGTTTTTCACTGAGCTGCAGGCATCTGTGAGGATTTGCTGTAAAGTCAACAGCACAAAGCAAGATGTTATCTGTTGAGTCATTGACTCCATACAAATCTGAGTTATTGACTCGAATTGGCTTAAAATTACTGAAATTTAACTTGATTTGAATAATTAATTGAACAAACTGCACTGTCTAATCACTAGGATCAATTGAATGACTGAGTCAAATAAAATTATGTTTTATAAAGTGTCTTGAGATTCACAACATTTGTTGTAAATTGGTGCTTTTTCCATTTTTTTATGATTTTAAATATAATTTAGAATGAATTATGCAGACAGTTAGTGGAGTTAAATATGAGATACATCTGTTATGATGCCAAACATCATTTTCTGATTACTATAGCAGGAAGTTAACATGCAGGTTTTGTTGTATTAATCTCAGAAACAATCATATATTTCACAGATTATATGTTCAGTGTAGAAACTAAACCCACAAGAATCTGAACCAGAGTTTAAATGAATAAATATGGGAATACATTTTGTTAAAGAAAGATCATTTCAAGGTCACATTCAGAAGCATGTGGAGGCTTCAGCGGGTCGGGGAGTTTCCACCTGACCAGAGCTGCTCTCAGGGTGGAGAAAGAGCTGCTCCAGGGTGGAGGAAGAGCTGCTCCAGGGTGGAGGAAGAGCTGCTCCAGGGTGGAGAAAGAGCTGCTCCAGGGTGGAGGAAGAGCTGCTCCAGGGTGGAGGAAGAGCTGCTCCCGGGTGGAGGAAGAGCTGCTCCAGGGTGGAGGAAGAGCTGCTCCCGGGTGGAGGAAGAGTTGCTCTCAGGGTGGAGGAAGAGCTGCTCTCAGGGTGGAGGAAAGCTGCTCCCGGGTGGAGGAAGAGTTGCTCCAAGGTGGAGGAAGAGCTGCTCCAAGGTGGAGGAAGAGTTGCTCTCAGGGTGGAGGAAGAGTTGCTCTCAGGGTGGAGGAAGAGCTGGTTCAGGGTGGAGGAAGAGCTGGTCTCAGGGTGTAGGAAGAGCTGCTCCAAGGTGGAGGAAGAGCTGCTCCAGGGTGGAGGAAGAGTTGCTCTCAGGGTGGAGGAAGAGCTGGTCTCAGGGTGGAGGAAGAGCTGCTCCAAGGTGGAGGAAGAGCTGCTCCAGGGTGGAGGAAGAGTTGCTCTCAGGGTGGAGGAAGAGTTGCTCTCAGGGTGGAGGAAGAGCTGGTCTCAGGGTGTAGGAAGAGCTGCTCCAAGGTGGAGGAAGAGTTGCTCCTCAGGGTGGAGGAAGAGCTGCTCCAGGGTGGAGGAAGAGCTGCTCTCAGGGTGGAGGAAAGTTGCTCTCAGGTGGAGGAAGAGTTGCTCCAAGGTGGAGGAAGAGTTGCTCTCAGGGTGGAGGAAGAGCTGCTCCGGGTGGAGGAAGAGCTGCTCTCAGGGTGGAGGAAGAGCTGCTCCAGGGTGGAGGAAGAGCTGCTCTCAGGGTGGAGGAAGAGCTGCTCCAGGGGAGGAAGAGCTGCTCCAGGGTGGAGGAAGAGCTGCTCCAGGGTGGAGGAAGAGTTGCTCCAAGGTGGAGGAAGAGCTGGTCTCAGGGTGGAGGAAGAGCTGGTCTCAGGGTGGAGGAAGAGCTGCTCCAAGGTGGAGGAAGAGCTGCTCTCAGGGTGGAGGAAGAGCTGGTCTCAGGGTGGAGGAAGAGCTGCTCTCAGGTGGAGGAAGAGCTGCTCCAAGGTGGAGGAAGAGTTGCTCTCAGGGTGGAGGAAGAGCTGCTCCAGGGTGGAGGAAGAGCTGCTCCCGGGTGGAGGAAGAGCTGCTCCAAGGTGGAGGAAGAGCTGCTCCCGGGTGGAGGAAGAGCTGCTCCGGGTGGAGGAAGAGCTGCTCCAGGGTGGATGAAGAGTTGCTCCAGGGTGGAGGAAGAGCTGCTCCAAGGTGGAGGAAGAGCTGCTTCAAGGTGGAGGAAGAGCTGCTCCAGGGTGGAGGAAGAGTTCTCCAGGGTGGAGGAAGAGCTGCTCCAGGGTGGAGGAAGAGCTGCTCTCAGGGTGGAGGAAGAGCCTCTCAGGGTGGAGGAAGAGCTGCTCCAGGGTGGAGGAAGAGTTGCTCCAAGGTGGAGGAAGAGCTGCTCTCAGGGTGGAGGAAGAGCTGCTCCAGGGTGGAGGAAGAGCTGCTCCAGGGTGGAGGAAGAGCTGCTCCAAGGTGGAGGAAGAGCTGCTCCAAGGTGGAGGAAGAGCTGCTCTCAGGGTGGAGGAAGAGCTGCTCTCAGGGTGGAGAAGAGCTGGTCTCAGGTGGAGGAAGAGCTGGTCTCAGGGTGGAGGAAGAGCTGCTCTCAGGGTGGAGGAAGAGCTGCTCCAGGGTGGAGGAAGAGCTGCTCCAAGGTGGAGGAAGAGCTGCTCCAAGGTGGAGGAAGAGCTGCTCTCAGGGTGGAGGAAGAGCTGCTCTCAGGGTGGAGGAAGAGCTGCTCCAGGGTGGAGGAAGAGCTGCTCCAAGGTGGAGGAAGAGCTGCTCCAGGGTGGAGGAAGAGCTGCTCCAGGGTGGAGGAAGAGTGCTCCAGGGTGGAGGAAGAGCTGCTCTCAGGGTGGAGGAAGAGCTGCTCCCGGGTGGAGGAAGAGCTGCTCCAAGGTGGAGGAAGAGTTGCTCCCGGGTGGAGGAAGAGCTGCTCCCGGGTGGAGGAAGAGTTGCTCCAAGGTGGAGGAAGAGTTGCTCTCAGGGTGGAGGAAGAGCTGCTCCAGGGTGGAGGAAGAGCTGCTCTCAGGGTGGAGGAAGAGCCTCTCAGGGTGGAGGAAGAGCCTCTCAGGGTGGAGGAAGAGCTGCTCCAGGGTGGAGGAAGAGTTGCTCTCAGTGTGGAGGAAGAGCTGCTCCAGGGTGGAGCAAGAGCTGCTCCAAGGTGGAGGAAGAGTTGCTCTCAGGGTGGAGGAAGAGTTGCTCTCAGGGTGGAGGAAGAGCTGCTCCCGGGTGGAGGAAGAGTTGCTCCCGGGTGGAGGAAGAGCTGCTCCAAGGTGGAGGAAGAGTTGCTCTCAGGGTGGAGGAAGAGTTGCTCTCAGGGTGGACGAGAGCTGCTCTCAGGGTGGAGGAAGAGCTGCTCCCGGGTGGAGCAAGAGCTGCTCCAAGGTGGAGGAAGAGTTGCTCTCAGGGTGGAGGAAGAGTTGCTCTCAGGGTGGAGGAAGAGCTGCTCCCGGGTGGAGGAAGAGTTGCTCCCGGGTTCCCAGAGATCCACTGGGGGTCAGAAGGAGGATTCTTGCTCTATTCTTTCAGAAACTGCAGCCTCTGGGCAGCATGTTATATTTTAATGTTTTCATTTCCTGCAGACAGACGATCAGTTTTCATGGAGGGGAGGATGAAGGCAGTGATGATAGAGCCAATCAATCATCAATCACAGTGAACATAATAATACTTCCCACATTACAGCAGAATTTCAAAAATAACTGAAAACACATTTTAGTAACTTCTATTCCTGAAGCCTTGAAGTGAATGAATGTCAGAAAAGTGAATCTGTTGATCTGCAGCTGAAAGGAGCCAAAGACAGACGGACAGAAACTGTTTTCATGCTACAGGAAACTGCAAATTAATGTGAAAATTACTCCATTAAAACAAACATTACTTCTGTTTTTCTGTAACATTTGGATCCAAAGGATGGAAGATGTTTCTGTTTCTGTGGTTCATTAACATGCAGGCCTGTTTTCACTGAGTCAGTGTTTGACTTCATAAGATGTTAGATTTAAATCTTTGGTCTCAATCAGCTGATAATCAGAATCTGCAGAGTCGTATCATAAAAAGGAGCAAAGCTTCATATTGTGACTTTAACCAGCAGCACAAAAAAGCTAACAGCATCATTAGCTGCTAATCAACATTCACTGGAAACTTCCTATGAAGTTATCAAACAACCTTGTAAAGAAAGCATCTGAGGAATCAGCTGATAATCCACATTAAAGCAACACATTGAACTGTCAACACAGTCAGGAAGGAAATGTTCAACTTTAACAGCGTGAGTTTATTGATAAATTACTGCCAGTCCTGAACAGATTATTCTTCCCTTATGACAGAGATGAGAGCAGCTTCATTTCTCATCTCATTGCAACACAGCAGGTTTATGACACTCTGAGGGTGAAAGGTCAGATGAAGCAGGTTAAATCTCATAACCTCTGAATGATTTTCTGGATAAAATCAAGTTTTCCTCCATCCAGTGTGTGAAGAATCTACATCCAGCCATCAGACATCATTCATTTCACCCTGTGACCTCTGACCCCTCACTGGATCAGTATTTGATGCAAACTGCATGTTTGTTACTGACCCACAGTTTCTTTACCTCATCTGGAACATTATGACAGTCTGACAACAGGCGGCAGCATAATAAACAATGTTCAGAACCATTTCCTGAATTAGAAATCAATAATATTGGATATTTGTGTGAACTCAGAACCGACCATCACAGTTATGAACCTTTAAAACATTCATGGACTCACAAGCAGAAGATCAAAACTCACAGAATATCTCCAGTAATTTTTACTAACTGTTGGTTTGATTCTCTGCAGATCCAGCACCGACTCCTGATGTGAAAGCTGTTAGCCTGACCTCTGACCTCTGCCTGTTGACCTGCTCTGTGGACAATCCAGCGACTCTGCACTGGATCAGAGACAAAGAAATACACAACCAGAGTCTCTCTGCTCGGTCTTTACCTTTTATTGTCCATAAAGAGGATAGAAACTCATCATATAGATGTGTAGCAGCCAATCCTGCAGAGAACAAGACTGTAGATGTTAACTTGACGACTTCCTGTTGGCTCAGCCAAGAAGAAACTCTGAATGACAGCAAAACACGAAAAAGATGTAATACATACTTTTATTCATTTAATTCTCTTATTTTGTTGCAGTTTTTGTTAAATTTTTCCGTCTGTTGTGTTTTGTTCCTGTATTTGTTCCTGATGACAGATTGGATGCTAGTTCTAATCCCAGTGACTCTCGTTGCATTGGTGGCTTTTGGAGTCTTGGTGATCAGGAAGAAATTTATGAGCCAACAACCATCAGCAAGTCAAACACAAGGCAGGTATTTGATCACTTTACTCTGAGATTTATTCATGTTTATTTATTAATATAATATGTATTAATATAACATGTATTAATACAATATGTATTAATATAATATGTATTAATATAATATGTATTAATATAACATGTATTAATATACTATGTATTAATATAATGTGTATTAATATACTATGTATTAATATAATGTGCATTAATATACTATGTATTAATATATTATGTATTAATATAATATGTATTAATACAATATGTATTAATATAATATGTATTAATATAATATGTATTAATATAACATGTATTAATATACTATGTATTAATATAATGTGTATTAATATACTATGTATTAATATAATGTGCATTAATATACTATGTATTAATATATTATGTATTAATATAATATGTATTAATACAATATGTATTAATATAATATGTATTAATATAATATGTATTAATATAACATGTATTAATATACTATGTATTAATATAATGTGTATTAATATACTATGTATTAATATAATATGTATTAATATAACATGTATTAATATAATGTGTATTAATATAATGTGTATTAATATACTATGTATTAATATATTATGTATTAATATAATATGTATTACAATAATATGTATTAATATAATATGCATTAATATAGTGTTTACAGATATATGAACTTGTTTGTGAAAATATTCTGTAGAACATTCTGTTTGCTTCTTCTTCAGACATTAACATGTCAAACACATAAATCTGAGTATTTATAATGTGGTTGGTAAAATATTAAAGTAAAATATTTTCCTTCACCTGAACAGCCTGAACCTCAGACTGACGATCCTGAATCTTTGGTTCTGACGGTCTGACGGTCTAAAGCGGCGCTGTACCTTTAAATCTGATGATGCTCAGTGTGAATGAACTCAGGTTTCATATCAGAGCTGAATCTCATCTTTCAGTCGTTCTCTCTGAGTTTCAGGCCTGAACAGCAGGAATCATTAGATACTGAATGATTCAGCTGTAAAATCCCCTGGATGGTTTTTCTGCTGGTTTTTAGCAACTTGATCCTGTTCAGTGAGTTCATTGTTTCTCTACCAGGTAACCGGAGGGACGATCCTTTACACGTCTGAACAACAATACAGTATAAAAACAGTCTGAAGAAAATAGTTTAATATCAAGAAACATCTGGTTTACAGCTAAACATCTTTTTACATAAATATTCATCACAGAATGAAACATTCATTTGGGTTAAAGATTCAGTTTTTGGTTCAAATGAGGCAGAAAACAGGTTAGCGTTAGCTTGTTGTAGCGCTGTGATTGGCTGTTGGTTTCCATGACTACTGCTCCTGATGAATTAATGTAGTCATCTGGCGGATGGTTATTAATGTAGTCATCTGGCTGATGGTTATTAATGTAGTCATCTGGTTGATGGTTATTAATGTAGTCATCTGGCTGATGGTTATTAATGTAGTCATCTGGCTGCTGGTTATTAATGTAGTCATCTGGCTGATGGTTAATTAATGTAGTCATCTGGCTGATGGTTATTAATGTAGTCATCTGGCTGCTAGTTATTAATGTAGTCATCTGGCTGATGGTTATTAATGTAGTCATCTGGTTGATGGTTATTAATGTAGTCATCTGGCTGATGGTTATTAATGTAGTCATCTGGCTGATGGTTATTAATGTAGTCATCTGTCTGCTGGTTATTAATGTAGTCATCTGGCTGCTGGTTATTAATGTAGTCATCTGCTGCTGGTTATTAATGTAGTCATCTGGTTGATGGTTATTAATGTAGTCATCTGGCTGATGGTTATTAATGTAGTCATCTGGCTGCTGGTTATTAATGTAGTCATCTGGCTGATGGTTATTAATGTAGTCATCTGGCTGCTGGTTATTAATGTAGTCATCTGGCTGATGGTTATTAATGTAGTCATCTGGCTGCTGGTTATTAATGTAGTCATCTGGCTGATGGTTATTAATGTAGTCATCTGGCTGCTGGTTATTAATGTAGTCATCTGGCTGCTGGTTATTAATGTAGTCATCTGGCTGCTGGTTATTAATGTAGTCATCTGGCTGCTGGTTATTAATGTAGTCATCTGGCTGATGGTTATTAATGTAGTCATCTGGTTGATGGTTATTAATGTAGTCATCTGTCTGCTGGTTATTAATGTAGTCATTTCCCTGATGGTTATTAATGTAGTCATTTCCCTGATGGTTATTAATGTAGTCATCTGGCTGATGGTTATTAATGTAGTCATCTGGCTGCTGGTTATTAATGTAGTCATCTGCCTGCTGGTTATTAATGTAGTCATCTGGTTGATGGTTATTAATGTAGTCATCTGTCTGCTGGTTATTAATGTAGTCATTTCCCTGATGGTTATTAATGTAGTCATTTCCCTGATGGTTATTAATGTAGTCATCTGGCTGATGGTTATTAATGTAGTCATCTGGCTGCTGGTTATTAATGTAGTCATCTGGCTGATGGTTATTAATGTAGTCATCTGGCTGCTGGTTATTAATGTAGTCATCTGGTTGATGGTTATTAATGTAGTCATCTGCCTGCTGGTTATTAATGTAGTCATCTGGCTGCTGGTTATTAATGTAGTCATCTGGCTGATGGTTATTAATGTAGTCATCTGGCTGCTGGTTATTAATGTAGTCATCTGGCTGATGGTTATTAATGTAGTCATCTGGCTGCTGGTTATTAATGTAGTCATCTGGCGGATGGTTATTAATGTAGTCATCTGGCTGCTGGTTATTAATGTAGTCATCTGGTTGATGGTTATTAATGTAGTCATCTGCCTGCTGGTTATTAATGTAGTCATCTGGCTGCTGGTTATTAATGTAGTCATCTGGCTGATGGTTATTAATGTAGTCATCTGGTTGATGGTTATTAATGTAGTCATCTGCCTGCTGGTTATTAATGTAGTCATCTGGCTGCTGGTTATTAATGTAGTCATCTGGCTGATGGTTATTAATGTAGTCATCTGGCTGCTGGTTATTAATGTAGTCATCTGGCTGATGGTTATTAATGTAGTCATCTGGCTGATGGTTATTAATGTAGTCATCTGGCTGATGGTATTAATGTAGTCATCTGGCTGCTGGTTATTAATGTAGTCATCTGGCGGATGGTTATTAATGTAGTCATCTGGCTGCTGGTTATTAATGTAGTCATCTGGCTGATGGTATTAATGTAGTCATCTGGCTGCTGGTTATTAATGTAGTCATCTGGCGGATGGTTATTAATGTAGTCATCTGGCTGCTGGTTATTAATGTAGTCATCTGGCTGATGGTTATTAATGTAGTCATCTGGCTGCTGGTTATTAATGTAGTCATCTGGTTGATGGTTATTAATGTAGTCATCTGCCTGCTGGTTATTAATGTAGTCATCTGGCTGCTGGTTATTAATGTATCTGGCTGATGGTTATTAATGTAGTCATCTGGCTGATGGTTATTAATGTAGTCATCTGGCTGATGGTTATTAATGTAGTCATCTGGTTGATGGTTATTAATGTAGTCATCTGCCTGCTGGTTATTAATGTAGTCATCTGGCTGATGGTTATTAATGTAGTCATCTGGCTGCTGGTTATTAATGTAGTCATCTGGCTGATGGTTATTAATGTAGTCATCTGGCTGCTGGTTATTAATGTAGTCATCTGGCTGATGGTTATTAATGTAGTCATCTGGCTGCTGGTTATTAATGTAGTCATCTGGCGGATGGTTATTAATGTAGTCATCTGGCTGCTGGTTATTAATGTAGTCATCTGGCTGATGGTTATTAATGTAGTCATCTGGCTGCTGGTTATTAATGTAGTCATCTGGCTGCTGGTTATTAATGTAGTCATCTGGCGGATGGTTATTAATGTAGTCATCTGGCTGCTGGTTATTAATGTAGTCATCTGGCTGATGGTTATTAATGTAGTCATCTGGCTGCTGGTTATTAATGTAGTCATCTGGTTGATGGTTATTAATGTAGTCATCTGCCTGCTGGTTATTAATGTAGTCATCTGGCTGCTGGTTATTAATGTAGTCATCTGGCTGATGGTTATTAATGTAGTCATCTGGCTGCTGGTTATTAATGTAGTCATCTGGCTGATGGTTATTAATGTAGTCATCTGGCTGCTGGTTATTAATGTAGTCATCTGGCTGATGGTTATTAATGTAGTCATCTGGCTGCTGGTTATTAATGTAGTCATCTGGCTGATGGTTATTAATGTAGTCATCTGGCTGCTGGTTATTAATGTAGTCATCTGGCGGATGGTTATTAATGTAGTCATCTGGCTGATGGTTATTAATGTAGTCATCTGGCTGATGGTTATTAATGTAGTCATCTGGTTGATGGTTATTAATGTAGTCATCTGGCTGATGGTTATTAATGTAGTCATTTGGCTGCTGGTTATTAATGTAGTCATCTGGTTGATGGTTATTAATGTAGTCATCTGGCTGCTGGTTATTAATGTAGTCATCTGTCTGCTGGTTATTAATGTAGTCATCTGGCTGATGGTTATTAATGTAGTCATCTGTCTGCTGGTTATTAATGTAGTCATCTGGCTGATGGTTATTAATGTAGTCATCTGGTTGATGGTTATTAATGTAGTCATCTGGCTGCTGGTTATTAATGTAGTCATCTGGCTGATGGTTATTAATGTAGTCATCTGGTTGATGGTTATTAATGTAGTAATCTGGCTGCTGGTTATTAATGTAGTCATCTGGCTGATGGTTATTAATGTAGTCATCTGTCTGCTGGTTATTAATGTAGTCATCTGGTTGATGGTTATTAATGTAGTCATCTGGCTGATGGTTATTAATGTAGTCATCTGTCTGCTGGTTATTAATGTAGTCATCTGGCTGATGGTTATTAATGTAGTCATCTGGCTGATGGTTATTAATGTAGTCATCTGTCTGCTGGTTATTAATGTAGTCATCTGGCTGATGGTTATTAATGTAGTCATCTGTCTGCTGGTTATTAATGTAGTCATCTGGCTGATGGTTATTAATGTAGTCATTTCCCT